TGCATTCTGGGTCTGCTCAGGGTAGAGTTTCAGATCTGCCAGGATTTTGAGGACAGAGCCGGGAGGTGGTCAGTGTGGTCACTCCGCCGGGCGGAGGCCGAGTTCATCGCCAGCCAGGGGTCCGGCTCCAGCTAAGAAGCTCGGGCCTCCCTGTGACGCGGGAGACGCGGGTTCCAGTGCCGTGTGCTCCCCGGGGGGCGCTGTAGGCTCACGCCTCCCCCCACCATCCAGGCCTTCCTAAGGTCGCCTCCTACTGGGTCGTTGGTCATCTTCACCAGGACTGAAGAGACCACTTGTTTTTATCTCAGCCTTCCTTTTCTTTTGAAATACAGTGTCTGTATAATAGAATACAATGTGGCATAATGATATGATACGACAGGATATATAATGTAGCGTAAAAACAGTGTAATTAACGGATGTTGGTTACAAAAGCAGCCATGGAAATCACATCCTCCACGGGGGAGGGGTGGGGGTGGTTTGAAGTATGAAAGATGCTCATTTATCTTCAGTGTCTACTGGTTGTGGCGTGTATGTGCGTGTGCTCAGTGATGTCTGATTCTGTGACCCTGTGGACTGTAGCCCGCCAGGCCCCTCTATCCATGGGATTCTCCAGGCAAGAATACTGGAGTGGGTTGCCGTTTCCTCCTCCAGGGGATCTTCCTGACCCAGGGACTGAACCCGCATCTCCTGCATTGGCAGGCGGATTCTTTATCATTAGAGCCAGCTGGGAAGCCCCCTACGATTTATTAGTGAATCTCAAAATAGCCTAGAACATGAGGGGTTTTTGCATCTACAGTGTCAAGCCCCGCTCGATTGCAGACTCACGTGTGGAATAGCAGAGAGTAGGCATCTCGGGGAGGCGCTGGCCTGGCTCCAGGCGCTGAGCTGGTCTGGATCCACCAGCAGGAGATGGTTGGGGGACATCTCGCCTCGGGCTGTGTGAGTGTTTCTTCGTTTCTGTGACCCGCGGACCTGGTAACAGTGGAAGGATGAGGGAAGCATCTCTCTGATCTCCTTTCTTTTCTTCTGCATCTCAGCCTTAGGGCTGAAGACCCCCTGGAACCCTCAGTGTCCAGAGGTAGCATCAGAAACGAGGCCCCGCTGTCACGGCGGTGTCTTCCCTAGTGGAGGGACCGCTCTGCGCTGCCCGTCAGGTGGCTGAGGCGCCGTTCCAGGCCTTCCACTCCATTCCTGGTGGCCCGAGTGACGGCCCCCACCCGAGCGGGTGGGCTGTGGGCCCTGCAGGGCAAAGCCGGCAGGTGCAGCCCCAGGTCCCCCATCGCCTTCGGAGGGCCAGCCTCACGCCCGCGGTCTCTCGTCTGAAGGGCCCTCCATGGCGCAGCTGTCCTTCCCCGCGGCGTCAGCACGGCCCCGTCGCCCCCTCATAGGCCGCCTGCAGTGACCGAGTCCTGCCGTGGGCGCGCCCCGCCTTTCCCTGGTCCTGCCGCCCGGGACCCGGTGTATTGTGTTTGGCCAGTTGATGCCCTGGGGACAGTCTCTGTTCGTGAAAGCAGGGTCCCCAGACGTGCATGTTCATCGGCGCTGTGTTAAGTTCACTGTTGGGGCTGGCGTCTGGGGTTCCCCCCTGTTTCTTTAAACATAGTAAGAGTATTATGTTTAGTATGATGTATTTAGGCTCCTGGCCCTTTTGCCGTTTGTTTCAGATAATCTTTAAGTTTTTTGTTAGCCTTTTAATTTTTTATGACCTTTTGGATGGCAAATGACAAATTTGTTTTGTCACTGAGTCTATCTCTCTTTCCTATGTTACTTCTTTCATTGCTTTTATTTTAAAAAAAATCCCCACCCAAACCTCAGATAAGTATTCATTTCATCTTTGTTATCATTTTCATGACTTTTTAAAACACTCACCTCTCTAATAGACCTGGGATTTATTGTGTAAAATGTAGAGAGGGAATATATATTTATTTTTCCACTTTCACTGGATAGCCCCTTGGAAATCTGAACATAAAGTGTCTTTTTCTGACTTTGTCACCAGGCTTATGATCACCCTTGTTTTCCATTACGAACACTATCATCAGCTGTGTGACTAAGCAGTGCTCCTCATTCCAGAGAGGCCTGAGCTCAATGATAACAGCATCAACACTGTTTAGAGAATGTTTCGGTTTTCCTAACCGGAGTCTCGCAGTGAGCTTTGCAAGGCGATGGCAGGAAGGGTGTAGGAACACGGCGTCCCCCCTCCTCGGCCACTTGCTTCACTGAATCGCGTCATGGGTGGGAGGGGGGCTTCTCCCGAAGAGGACTTCCTGGGGGGTGGCGGACAGCCACCTCCTGTGGCCCGTCCCCAGTCTGCCTGGCTCCCCGAGGCCAAGGACGCGGCGCAGGAGCCTGAGTGCCTGCGACGAGGCTCCCTCGAGGAGCTGCCCCGAGAGGCGTCCTGCCTGCCCTGGTCGGGGAGCGGGCAGCCCTGCAACCCCCAGTCCTTCCGTGCATTTCATCCAGGGTCTCCTGCTCAGCCGGGGAGGGTGTTTGGAGAGGCAGCGTCCTGACCCCACCGCTTACGGGCCCTTCAGGGTGTCCAGCCGTCATCCTCTGCATCTTTTACTGAAGGAAGGGATCTCAGGGTCTGTTTCCTCTCCCGAAACCCTTTCTTTGGCCTCGGGGGCCCGTAACCCGGGGCAGGCAGGGAATGGAGCGACTCCTTGTACCGTCTCCCTGGGGGCTGCCTTGCGTGTCCCGTCTTTGTTGGTTCTCCTGAGCGAGGCAGTGCTGGGGTCAGAGCTACTAGGGATCCAGTTAGACACACACACACATTCTTTTTTACATTCTTTCCCACTATGGTTTATCTCGGGACATTGAATAAAGCTCCCTGTGCGCTACAGTAGGACCTGGTTGTGTATCCATCCTGGATGTAGCAGTTTGTCTGCGTCTTCTAACCCCAAGCACCCAGTCCATCCCACCCTACCGCACCCCCCACCCCTTGGCAACCATACTTTCATAAAAATAAATAAGTAAGAAAGAACTACCGAGTGATGAATGAGCTTGGGCTGGGGGTCCATCCTGGTGGAGCCGTACAGATTCTGCCACAGAGCGTCCTCTCTGGGGCAGATGGAGTCCTGAGCGAGTAGAATCGTATGGTGTTTGTCCTTTTGTGTCTGGCCTACTTTGCTTAGCGTAGTATTTCTAAGGTTTATTCCTGCCATAGTGCGTGTCAGAATGTTTATCTTTCAGGGCTGAGTAATATTCCCCCGCATGGCCAAGCCCCCTTTTGTTTATTCGGCCATCCCTTGGTAGACACTTGGGTGGCCTCCACCCGTTTCGCTCTTGTGACTAACGCTGCGGTGAATGTGGGTGTACGCGATCTGTTGGAATCTCTGCTGCAGTTCTTCGGGGAATGGGCTCGCTGGGTCACATGGTATTTCTGCGGTTAACTTCGTGAGGAGGTGCCAGGCGGTTTTCCACAGTGACTGCACCATTTTACCTTCCTGCCAGCTCCTCCACGTCCTCACCGATGCTTGTTAGTTTCCATTTTTGTGGGTTTTCCCCTGTTACAGCCGTCCTTTGGGAAGGACTTAAATAACGGGCTTGCCAGGTGGCTCAGACGGTAAAGAATCTGCCTGCGATGCCAGAGATCAGGTGTAAGTGTGTGTCAAAGGCCAAGAACGAATGACTGAAATGCTTCATTCTGAGGGTGATATTCATTGTACCTGTCACACTTAGGAACTCTCGAGGGGAGTTTCCCCCTTCACACACGTGGGGCCATAGGAGGTCACCTGGACACCGCCCTGGGTGTACCAGTTTGCTCGTGGGGATCTTGGCGTTGTTCTTACTCGCAAGCAGTGACTGTGTTTTTAATTTATTTTTTGCCTCAAAACTTATTCCATCTGTGTTCCCAGATGGCTGAACTTTGGACAGTGTCAGTACTGAAAAGAATATTACTATAATTTGTTACAACAGACTCATTTTTTTAAAATCCATAATCCATAGTTATCCTCAGGAAGAATGAGAGGAGGGACGTTCCTCTTGATGTCTAGTCCCATCAGAGATGAGAAAATGGGCATTTCGTGACCCTACATGACCCAAGCAAGGGTCATACACAAGCTAACTGGTGAAGAATTGTAAGGGAACCCACAGGTCATTCGGTACCAAAATGTCATCCCTCGGGCTATTTATTACTCACAGAGCGACTTGTGCATCTTTACAATGGGAGGCTGATGACTTCCCACCTCGACACAGTGGCATTCAGCATCACTGCGCAAGGGTAGCCCAGCACCCCTGCCCCGTCTACTGCACCTTGAGGCCTGCAGCATCGCCCAGGAGCTGTTTTTGCCAAATATGTTTGGCCTCGACCTTAAAAAGCCTCCAGACCTAACCTTGGTTCATGAGAAATATAGGAGTTAGAGCAACCAGTAAAGCAACAATCAGACACGCCTGGAGACAATCCAAGAAAACTGGACTTAACCAAACGAGCCCACGGAAAGCGCAGGGAAAAGAAGTGGGGCCATTTTACCCTAGAAGCAAAAGCAATAAGGAAATGCAACCATCGAGGTGACGTGTGAACCCTGACCGAACCCTATGTTGGAAAATAACAGCTGTGGGTGACCTGAAGGCAGGACTGGAACACGGATGGGGTATTGGATGACGTTGTGTATTCACGGTTAGTTTCCTTAGGGGGACAGGCATGTTCGGGTTGGGTAAGAGAATGTCCTGTTCTCAGGAGATGCTGAGTGTGTTATAAATGCACCTGGGGTGGAAGGTCATGGCGTTGATGGTTTATTATCAGACTTTTGGCTAAAATGTATGTATGTGTGAGGAAGAGAGGGCAAGAGAAAATGTATCCAAATGTGAGCAGTTGTTGAATCCAGGTGGAGGCTTCAGGAGTGGCCATTCAGCCTGCTCTGTAAACTTCTGTATCTGTTTAAGAAGTTTGTGACCAAAAAAAAAAAAAATATGGGAAGTTATCTATATCTAAAGTTTTGTGTTTAGATTCTCCAGAGCCTGACTCCTGCCTTTGAAAGTCTTCGTTTTTTTCTGTCTTGCAGTTCGGGACCGAGTCAGGTCAAAGATGGAGAGAGACATCCTGGCAGAAGTGAATCACCCTTTCATCGTAAAGCTTCATTATGGTATGTGTGTGTGTGCGCTCAGTTGTGTCCGGCTCTTTGCGACCCCATGGGCTGTAGCCTACCAGGCTCCTCTGTCCATGGGAGTCTCCAGGCAAGAGTACTGGAGTGGGTTGCCATTTCCTTCTCCAGGGGATCTTCCCAACCCAGGGGCTGAACCTCATCGCCTACATTGCAGGCGGGTTCTTTATCACTGTGCCACCTGGGAATCCCTTCATTATGAAGTAAAATAAACAGGTAAATAACCTACTTTTGAGAGGACCCGGAGCAACCCTCCCCTAAATCAGGGGAAACTGAAGCAGAGTCAAAGGGCCTCCTGGTCTCAGCATCCAGCCGTGCCTGGTGGGAAGGCAGGCTGTCTCCCCCAGTTCCTAAATCTCAGATTCTTCTCTGGGGCAGGAAGATGCCCTGTTCTCCTCTCCAAGACCTAATCTGAGGGAATGAGGGGTTACCTTTAATTAAATTATCATCATGGACAGTGTTTTTAAAAAAAGTCCCAACTTGGGGTGAATCTATGACATTTTTGTGTTGTTTCAGAATAAAATGCTTATGACCCACTAGTTTCTTTAAACCAGAATGGTAACATCTCCTGCCTTTTAAGTAATGACAAGTATGTTAAACATGTGAGTCCTCAAAGCTTATTCCCAGGTAGGTTGTCGTTTCCATTTCTCAGAAGGGAAAGCTGCGACTCAAACGGAATAATTCTGACTCTTGAGGCCACACATCTGTGATGCCCCCCGAGGCTTTTTTGTTTGCTTTCTGCCGTCCTATCTTCTCAGAGAAGCTGTAAGTGAGATCTTCAAATTACCAATAATGAGATGGTGACTCCAGTATCGTGGCAGACGGCATTAAAGCTTACAGCGCTAATTGAGTGATTGCTGTGGGTGAGGCCTCGCACAGAACAGGGACAAACCCTTGCCTCGTGGGCACAGAGGCTCAGGGCGGGCGGTGCGGTGAGAGAGCGCCCATGACTTTTACCCAAATCGGGAGTGAAAGCGTGAACACGCCGAGAGGCGGAGGGCACAGCTCTCTGCTCGAGAAGTGCCGTTTCTAAGAGCACGGTTTAGAGAGGCTTGTTGGGGAAATAATAAGAGCCAGCGTGGACGCGAGCCTGCTGCTGCCCGGGGGTGGCCGGGTCCCTGGGGCCGCGGCAGGCACCCGCCGACCCCAGCAGGGATGGGAGGCTGACCGCCCCCCACCCCCTCCCCAGCACACGGCCGCCTCTGCTGTGCTGGTCCGCGGTGTTGGACCCGATCCAGGTGTGGTTTCAGCCGGTCTCCGGGGTTTTTCTGAAGAAGTTAGGAGCTGGGCTCTTACAGAGATTTTCTAGGCATCCTCTGCGTTTCCTCTGTGATTGAGCAGAAGGCGCCTGTCCTCCACCTGCTGGTCAAGCCCTCAGACAGAGCTTTCATCCACGTGGGAGTCCCCACGCCTCTGACGAAAGGATGTGTAGTTAGAGGCTTTACGTTTCTAAGTGAAGTGGAATGAAAGTGGCTCAGTTGTGTCCAACTTTTTGCAACCCCATGGACTATACAGTCCATGTAATTCTCCAGGCCAGAATATGGAGCAGGTAGCCTTTCCCTTCTCCAGGGCATCTTCCCAACCCAGGGATGGAACCCAGGTCTCCTGAATTATAGGCGGATTCTTTATCGGCTGAGCCACAAGGGAAGCCCTTCATTTCTGAAAGCCCACCGTTATAAGCTTCTGGCCTTGACGTTCAGAAAATGAAGTTTCCAAGTGTGTGGGGCTGTCAGCGCCCCCTCCAGCCAGACCCCCTGTGTGACACAGACCCCGTGACAGGCCAGCGCTGACTTTGGACGGACCGTCCGGTGGCCGCGGGCGTTACTTTCTCTTGACCCTCACGCGCCCGCAGCCCCCTCCAACCGAGGCATGCGCTTGCTGGTGGTGGGCAGGGGCAGAACCGTGGACTGCACGCCCGTACCCGTGGCCCTCGGGGCCCAAACCAAGGACACACGCCCCGTGGCCCCCAGGTACAGCAGCGAGGCTGTCCCAGCCCCAGCGCGGCCCTGAGAGGAGGAACGGGTGGTGGGCGTCCTTGAGCCCTGAGCTGCACCAAACCCGGTCCGTAGAAGGGCAGGGTGGTTCCGGATGGTCCAGTCGCCCTGCCCCGCCCCAGGCAGCTCACAGCAAAGCCGACCCTCCGACGAGACCCAGTTGGTCCCGTGTTCGCAGAGGTCACCTCTGTGAGAGGTGATCCCCCATGAGAGCGCGGGGACCTACTGATCCTTTTCCCTGCGTGTCTTTCGACCCCCTTAGTGGTTAGGAAAGGGAGGCAGGGGCTAGGAAAGGAAGAGAAACATTCTCCAGGCTGTTAATGAGACATGCAGGCAGCGCTCCTTGCCATGGAAAGGGAGGCAGGGGCTAGGAAAGGAAGAGAAACATTCTCCAGGCTGTTAATGAGACATGCAGGCAGCGCTCCTTGCCATGGAAAGGGAGGCAGGGGCTAGGAAAGGAAGAGAAACATTCTCCAGGCTGTTAATGAGACATGCAGGCAGCGCTCCTTGCCATGGACCCCCTCTCTCTGAGCACTGCCCCCCACGCTGTCTCCGCCCCGCTCCAGGCCTGCGTCTGAAATGACTACATGGTACTGTCTGAGCCAAAGGCGGGCGGACTCCCAGCGCTCAGCGCTGGCCCCAAGGGAGTGACGGCCACCCCAGGCACTGCGACCCCAAAACGCTCTCACCTCTCTCTGTCCGCAGCCTTCCAGACGGAGGGGAAACTCTACCTGATTCTGGACTTCTTGCGCGGAGGGGACCTCTTCACCCGGCTCTCCAAAGAGGTACATGGTGTGGGGCGGTGGGCTGTGGGTGACTGCCTGGAGTCTGCGGAACACACAGGGATCGGAGGAGGGGGCTGTGTGTGAGTGTGTGTGTGTGTCTACATGCATGCACATGTATGTGTGCTGGGTGGCGTGTGTGTGTGTGCAATATACATGCGCACGTGTGATGGTGTGGGATGTATGATGTGTGTATAGGTGTGTTACTTGTTTTAAAGAAGTCTTGCAAGTCACATGGAGAAGAAATCTGTTGTCCTCGAAGAAAGTGTTCGTCGCTCAGTCGTGTCTGACTCTTGGCGACCCCATGACTGTAGGCCGCCAGGCTCCCCTGTCCATGGATTTCCCAGGCCAGAATACTGGAGTGGGTGGACATGCCCCTCCCCAGGGATCTTCCCGACCCAGGGATCGAACCCAGGCCTCCCGCGTTGTAGGCAGATTCTTCACCGTCTGAGCCACCAATGAAGGGTCTTCAGAAAAGAGACTCTTCCCATGACCCCCGTGGAACTCTCGAAACGTCCTTGTGTAGAGCAGATGGAAACTTTGTCTATATTACGTGGGGAAGACTATTTCAGAGCATCTCAGTTTCCACCGTGGGAAGATGCTATTAACACGAGGACCACGCTTCTGGGAGGAGCGTCCGGTTAAGGCTGCAGGCGGGAGACCTGCACGACCCCCAACCCCTGCACAGCCTTAGGGCTTATCCTTGACGCCCAACACCTGACGGGAACTTCCCAGAAAGTCTCACGGCTCAGCGTGGAAGTGCTCTGGCCCCTGCTTCGTGGGATGGAAAACCCAGGCTCCTGCTCCAGGCAGGGGTGACTGGGCTTTTCGTCCTGACGATTCCGTGCGGTCTCCGTCACACAGAGGAGAGGGTGACAGCATTGGTCACGATGCACTAGCAGGTTTGCGACCCTCTGATGCAGCCTCCCCCCGGCCGCGGGGCTCCCACTGGGCCTAACAGAGGGTTCAGCTGCACGCTCCCTTTCCTCACCGCCCACGGGCACAGAGGAGAGCCGTCCACTCCGCCTGACACTCTGAAGTGAGCAGTTGATCGCGGTGGAGCAGGGTGGGGTCCCCGAGACCTCAGGCTGCCCCGTCCCTCCATCTCCCACGGGACCCCCAGGTCACAGCACAACTGATGTATCGGGCTCTTTGCGATATCTATTGAAAGCATGGCTGAAGAATCAGGTCCAAGTTCTCCAAAAGCCCTCTGGGCGCAGGTCTCTGGTCCCTTAACCCTCCTCCCAGCCAAGCTCGGTTCCCAAAGAGGCGGGATCACTGAGGTTGGCGTTTCTCGCCTGACGCCTCTTGATTTGCTCCTTCCCCCTTGTCTACAAAAAGCCAGGCCACGTCCAATGTGACACACCCTGTTGTTGGGCTTCTGGACCAAAAAGGCAACAATGATTAGCAAAAAACCCTATCATGGCTCCCAGTGGGACACGTAAGTTTCCTGTAAGACCCTTTATTTCAGAGTGGAAGTGAAGTTGTCCAGCGTGGGCTCAACAGGGTCTCTGAGTTCATGGACACACAGGAGATGAACGTCACCCTAACCCCAACCCTACGTGAAAAAGTATTTTCTCTCCATTGTTTTCCCCGAGTCCGCTGGACGGCATCCTTGTGAGTGTCGGTCTCAGCGCTGACTCCTTCAAGAACTCACCCCCGTGGGTGTTTCATTCCCGTAGAGAAACGCTTTGTCATTTGAACTTGGAGGCCGTCCTGAGCTGAGTCCTAACAACAGCCGAGAAGGGGAAATGGCGCCTGTGAGCCTGGACTGCAGGCACGCCCGTGTGGTCATGTCCAGAAGTGGGGACGATCGGGCGTAGGGAACCCCGACAGCCAGCAGCATCTGACGACAGAGAAGCCCCGAGTGTGTTGGCCAATTTAAAGAAGAAAGACCCAGCCAGGGAAGGAGGTGCCGGTCGAGCGTGGAGACTAAACAAGCGATTCCAGAGGCCGGAGGGGCGGCGAGGGTTGGCGGGACCCTGATGCTTCTGTCCAGGACTTGGGGCGCATGTCCCGGCCCCGCTGGGAGGCATCCCCTTTGTGAAGGGGCCGAGCTCCACCTGCACCAGCCTGATGTCGTCACGTTTGTTTCCCCGAACCACCCATATCCTGGCCCCAGCTTCCCAGGCAGCCTTCTGATGGTGCACTGATTTTCAGAGGGAGTTCAGTCATGACATGGATTTCTGGTCTCTGTGACACTGACTTCTCATGGTGCAGCTAGAGACGCACTTTCTGGGAGCATCCGGCTTGCTGGTGAGGTAACTACAGAATTGCGTGCTGGTTCTCACAGCCACCAGGGACAGGGAGACCGTGCGAGGCAATGACCTTGAGGTCTGCTGGGTGCTGTGGCCTCGAGCGTGTTTTAGCTGAGCCAGGATCCCTCTCCCACCAGCCTCCCCGAGAGAGGCACCTGCCGACACATGAGGGGGTCGTGTTGGTGGACTTGTCTGCTTCGGAGAGACAGCGGCTCCTCGTCCGTAACCCAAGGGGGAATGATGTGAGGTCTGAAGGAGGAGAAATGAGATTCAAGACGTGGTCTCAGGAAATCTTTCAGGCCTGTTTACGTCAACCTTCACAGCGTGGTTTAGCTGGTTGTATTATAATAAAATGGTATATCCCAGGCAGGGAAGACGCTTGAGAGTCCCTTGGACTGCAAGGAGATCCAACCAGTCCATCCTAAAGGAGATCAGTCCTGGGTGTTCATTGGAAGGACTGACGCTGAAGCTGAAACTCCAGTACTTTGGCCACCTGATGTGAAGAGCTGACTCACTGGAAAAGACCCTGATGCTGGGAGGGATTGGGGGCAGCAGGAGAAGGGGACGACAGAGGATGAGATGGTTGGATGGCATCACCGACTCCATAGACATGAGTTTGAGTAAGCTCCGGGAGTTGGTGATGGACAGGGAGGCCTGGCGAGCTGCAGTCCATGGGGTCGCAGAGTCAGACACGCCTGAGCGACTGAGCTGAACATCCCAGGCACTTGTATTGAAACATAAACCCAGAAACACACTCCCAAGCCACGTGGTTTGAGGAGCAAGAGAAACTGGAGGAGGGGACCCAGCCCGGTGTTCCCCCTACAAGTCGAGTCACTTGGTGAGAAGAGCCCCTGGATTCACTGGTCCTGAAACTGCGAAGAGAACTCACGCTTCTGCTGTATGGCCTGGAAGAGCCTGGTCACTGCCATGGTCTCAGAGAGGAGCTGGGCTCAGGGCTCGGGGATCGGGGCTCGGGGATCGGGGCTCGGGGCTCGGGGCTCGGGGCTCAGGGCTCAGTGCTCAGGGCTCAGGTCTCAGTGCTCGGGGCTCAGGGCTCAGTGCTCAGGTCTCAGGGCTCAGTGCTCGGGGCTCAGGCCTCAGTGCTCAGGGCTCAGGGCTCAGGCCTCAGTGCTCAGGGCTCAGGGCTCGGGGCTCAGTGCTCAGTGCTCGGGGCTCAGGGCTCAGTGCTCAGTGCTCAGTGCTCGGGGCTCAGACCTCAGTGCTCGGGGCTCGGGGCTCAGGACTCAGGGCTCGGGGCTCGGGGCTCAGGGCTCAGGGCTCAGTGCTCGGGTCTCTGGGCCCAGGGCTCAGTGCTCGGGGCTCGGGGCTCAGGACTCAGGGCTCGGGGCTCGGGGCTCAGGGCTCAGGGCTCAGTGCTCGGGTCTCTGGGCCCAGGGCTCAGTGCTCGGGGCTCAGGTCTCAGTGCTCGGGGCTCAGGGCTCAGGACTCGGGTCTCAGTGCTCAGGGCTCAGGTCTCAGTGCTCGGGGCTCAGGTCTCAGTGCTCGGGGCTCAGGGCTCGGGACTCAGTGCTCAGGTCTCTGGGCTCAGGGCTCAGTGCTCGGGGCTCGGGGTCCAGGGCTCAGGGTGGGCCTCAGGGGACGGTGTCCTGCTCTCTACACCTGGCAGACCAAGCAGGCTGAGTCTCCTCTGTCTCCTGCAGGTGATGTTCACGGAGGAGGACGTCAAGTTCTACCTGGCGGAGCTGGCCTTGGCCTTGGACCACCTGCATGGCCTGGGCATCATCTACAGAGACCTGAAGCCAGAGAAGTGAGCAGCCCCCCATCCTCCCCCACCCCCCGTGCTGCCCCAGAGACCTCACCCTGTCCCTGTTCCGCTGTGAGCATACGTCAGGCTGGAGGCTGGGGACGTCCCGGTGCCGCCCCCACACGCAGTGATTCCACCTGCCCGCCCCCCGAAAGGGGCAGACACAGGCGTGGCTTGTGCTGAGACGTGTGCGATGGCCCCGCCCCCTCCCCCTGACCCTCTGAACACCCCCTGCCCAGGAGACAGGCCGGGCCGGGCCTCACCCCTGTGGTTCAGGGGAGGCTGGGCAGGTAGGAGGTGACCCTCCGCTCCTCCAACCACACCTGCTGTCCCCCTTCTTAGGTGGGGCCCGTCTTGCAGTGGGCACGTCCCCCCACACCCCCTCCTCCGGGTTGGCCTCCGGCCCACCTCCACCTCCAGGCTCTGGAAGCCCTTGAGCTGCCTCAGCGGGCCCGTTTCTAGGTGACGAGTCAGATGAGCTGTTCCAGGGCTTTCTAAAAGACAGTGGGCCAGGTTCCCAGCCCAGATCCCAAATAGGTTCCTGTATCTTTGGCAACGATCATCTGTAATGTTGTTTCTAGGATATTTTGCTAATCCAATCTAAATTTTTTCAAAGTCCCCCCGAATAGTAATGTTCTTATTTCAGGCATTTTCCTGCTATTTTCTGTGCAGAGCTGGCACAGTCTAGGAGGGACCCACTTGAAAAGGAGGGGTCTACAGGGTGCTGTTTTAAGTTCAGTGGTCCCTGCTGCAGAGTTGGTGATTTCTCAACCCTCTGAAGTGGTTGATAACAAGCCCCCAACCCACCCCTATCTCCTTGTAGACTGAGGTCCACACCTGCCGCTGGATGAGGTGGGGCCTGGTGGGACCCCAAAGCGTGGGGCTCAAGGCAACCCAGGCGCCAAGGGCACAGGAAGTGAATCTCCCCGCCTTCTTCTCCGTCTCTTACTCCTTCCCCTGCCGTGACCTGAGGAAAACACACACTCTGCTCTGAGACGCAGCCGTCGCTGACGGAAGCACCTGGGTTTGCCCAGAGACCAGGAACGTTGTGTATGTCTCTGATGCAAAGTGCGTTTGCTTGAGACTCACGCCCGGCATCAGCCTGACTGCCCACTGGGCAGAGCATCTCTGGCCACACGTGTAAATGATGAATGTGTAAATGACCGTGAAAGGCCCTCTCCTGAGTGTCCCCATGCCCTGCAAATGCCGCCTTCAGATCGCGGGCACTGGGCCACTGTCACCCCTGCTCTGAGCCCTGGGCCCCCAGGAGGGCAGCACCCCGAGTCTCCCTCTCGTTAAGGGTCAGAGAGATCCGGACAGTTAGACGTGGTAATATGTCACTGCAGACTGAAGAGCAAGGATTTTGTTGTCAACGAGAATTAGTAGGGAGTTAATCTTGAAAGTTGCTCCCTTCTGGGGCAAAGGTTAGGTGTAACTGAGAAGCAAAGATGAGAACATTTGCTTCTTTCATTATAAATTGTCATCTCAGTTACATGCTGTAAATTTTTCCTGCCCTTTTCCATAAAATAGTGGGCATTACTTTTAATCGCACGGCTGATTATTTTTTAATTGTGATTAGGTGAATATAACATAAAATGGGCCATCTTGACCACCTTCAACGGCACAGTTTAATCATGTCAAGAGCACTGACACGGTTGTACATCACCACCCTCCATCCCCAAACTCTCCATCCTGCAAAATGGACACTCTGTCCCTGTGGAAACACTATGTCCCACCCCCAGCCCCCAGCACCCTCCCCCGACTCTCCGTCTCTGCGGACCTGACCGCGCTGGGTGTCCCCACGCAAGTGGGATCACACAGGAGTCGTCTGGTTGTGACCGACACTGCCCTCAGCCCCGTGTCCTCCTGGTGACCGTCCATTTGCTAACCTGTGTCCCAGCTTCCTCCCTGGCCCAAATGTGCTTAAGGTTCCACCTGTTAGTCCTCACAGTCCTCATCCTGGTCTCTTTGGAGCTGGGCTGGCACCTCCCAGGAGCTGGGGGAGCAGGGTTTAGTTACAGTGAAGAGCGAGGCGGGCAGACCGGAAGCCCCCGGGGAGCCGTGGGCTGCAGCCTGGAGCAGGGCCTCGCGGGGCGCTGGCCTGCCTCCAGCCCCTCCGTGCCCCCCGCAGGAGCGAGCCCGGCCCCTTGGCAGAGAGTCGGGGGCAGCAGGACGGGGCTCCCGGTGGGGCTTGCAGGTGGCCCGTGCTGGCAACAAGGGCCGGGGCCAGGGGGCCAGCCTGTGGTCTCACAGACTCCCCTGGCACTCGGGGTTGGTCCTGAGAGCCGGGACAGGGCTCCCGGAGAGATCCGGGGAGAGGGAGCGGGCTCGGCCGGCCAGCGCCCGCCTGGGACAGGAGCTCCCTGAGGGGCTCAGGCGCTCCTGGCCCCTCTCAGCCCTGTTCTCACAGGGCAGGCAGTCCTGGGGGCGGGGGGCCAACCGTCCCTCTGGGCTCGAGAAGGTCTCAGACCTGCCATCCCCCGTGAAGGGCACAGGGCTTCCCCCTGCCTCCGTACCCGAGGGCCTGTGTGAGCCTGACCCAGCGGAAACTGCTGACCAGAGAAGCAGCGGCCGGGGGGCCAGCAGGCACCCCCCCCACCCCCGGCCCCGGGGCCTGGGCGGGTCCCCTGGGGTCTGTGCATCTCATCTCAAAGCATCTGTTTTCCTCCCCTTTCTTCCAGCATCCTCCTGGACGAAGAGGGGCATATTAAGATCACAGGTGTGTAAGTCTCCCCCGCCCCTGCCGTTGACTTCATCCTGGCCCTGGTACACGGGACACCAGCCCAGAGCCCAGGCCTTCTGTCACCAGCGCGTGCACATGCATCCCCGTGGCCGCAGTTCCTTCTGTGTGTGTCTGTCTTACTAGGGAAGTCACAGCTCCCAGCCGGCCCTCCTTCCTTCTCTCCTTCTGACCGCAGACCCTTCTAGCATCTTTCCTGCTGACCCTCAGTGTCACTGGATGTTTTGTTCCAGAATCTCATCTCAGCATGTCTGCAAGGGCGTTGCCCCGCTGAAACCTCAGACCCCTCCTGCCGCCACTCAGTTCGGTGGGACCGAGTACCCGCCTCGTTCCCTTAACCCCGCAGTACTGGCCTCCTCTCGCTGAGTCGCATTCCCAGCCTTACAACAGCACCAGCTCATCGTCTTAGAGCTCTGGTGGCCGGGAGCCCAAACCCGTCCCACTGGGCTGAGGTCAGAAGGGCCAGGCTCCCTTGTGGAGGCTCCGGGAGGACGGTCTGATCACCCCTCCAGCTGCCCGCTTCCCTTGGCATGCTGCCCATTCCCTCCTTTGGAGGCAGTGGTCAGCTCCCCTCTCTTTCTGACCCTGGCCGTGTCTCCCTGTCCAGAGGAGGACCTTGAGCTTCATCCTGGAGCCCCGGCTGAGTGCCCGTCTCAGGACACACACCTGGTCACTCCTGCAGGGAGGGCCCGGTCAGGTGATCCGTCCACAGGTTCCAGGGTTGGGGCGTGGCCGTCTGTGGGGGCTGCTCCGCTGGCCCCCCACTGACTGCGTCCTGGCCTGGCCTCCACGCACACCCACTGCCTGCGTCTGCCAGCCGGCCGCTCACGAGTGCTCCCCCTCACCTCCGGAGGCGGCTGTCCCTGCTCGGGGGCCAGCGCTGCACCCCAGTTGCCGTCAGAGCCTCCTCGTGCAGAGGCGCTGTGGCCTCCCTGCCGTCTCTTCTCTCCTCTGGGCTGGCTCACCCCACTCCTGATGGCCCCCCACCCCAGCACAGAGCACAGAGTAATGGCAGTAGCTTCTCTTTAATGTCAAGCACACTTTTCAAGTTTCTCCTGAACTATGCGTGAGAACACGGCACTAATATGACACACCCTTCAGAGGCACCCTCGAGGCAGGGGTCACAGGTTGGGGGGCGCCTGCAGTGTCCACTGGCGTGACCTGCTACTGAGTCCACTTTGACCTGTTGGTGCCTCTGTGCTGCCCACGTGGAGGGCAGCAGAAGAGATGAACGCTTAGAAGCCGAGAACCTAAACCTGACTTCCGCAGCCAGTTGAAACAGTTCAGAAGTGCCAGGCAGGCATTTTGTGGAGATTTAAGGTTCTGCTCACACCTGTCCAGTTTTCTCTGCTGAGTGAGGAACTGGCACACGTGTGTTATATAAACCCCGCATGTGCACACGTGTACAGAGGTGGCTAGAATAAGCAGGAGCGGCCACACTAAATGTATGCGTCATATCATAGGGTTTTCTTTGGGTGTTAGTTCTACAAGGTCTTGTCGGTCTTCATAGAACCGTTCAGCTTCGGCTTCTTCGGCATCAGTGGTCGGGGCATAGGCTTGGATTACTGTGATGTTGAATGGTTTGCCTTGGAAACAAACAGAGATCATTCTGTCATTTTTGAGACTGCATCTGAGTACTGCATTTCAGACCCTTTGGTTGACCATGATGGCTACTCCATTTCCTCTAAGGGATTCCTGCCCACAGCAGTAGATATAATGGTCATCTGAGTTAAATTCACCCCTTCCGGTCCATCTGAGTTCTCTGACTCCTAAAATGTTGACGTTCACACTTGGCATCTCCTGCTTGGCCACATCCAACTTACCTTGATTCATGGACCTAACGTTCCAGTTTCCTACTCAGTACTGTTCTTTATAGCCTCGGACTTTACTTTCACCACCAGACACATCCACAACTGGGCATCGTTTTCGCTCTGGCCCAGACGCTTTGTTCTTTCTGGAGCTGTTTCTCTGCTCTTCCCCAGCAGCCTATTGGCCACCTACCAACCTGGGGGGCTCGATCAGAGGATTTTGGCTTCTTCTGATGCAGTCATTGCTGTCTCTGTTATTTATTAGCGACCCCAAGTTCGTCATTTGTCATGATTTGTCATTTTGGCACAAATGACAGACAAGCCCCCGAGACTCTGATGTGCAGAGCAAGGCACTTCGGCAGTGAGTGTCAGACCCACGTGGGTGGCAGGGAGGCTGTCTTAGCTGTGGGCTTTCTTGGTCCTCACTCAGCCCGGGAGGAGGTGATTTAACATGAAGTTCACAGACGATGAACTGGAGGGGTCTGTAATCTCAGGACCACGTGCTCACGGTGTCTCCCACCCCCTGGGTGCAGTAACATGAGTGTGGCAGGACGGCACCCCTGGTTGGTTTTGAGGATGAGATCTGGGGACAGTGACCCACGGCAGGAGCTCTGAAGCCCCATCAGACTTGTCTGTCTTCCACTTCGTGCCTCACCACTGGGGGCCGCCTTCCTGAGCACCCTTCTGCCCGTGACCCCTTTCTGGTCCCTTTCTTTGGAACAGGGGTCCTCTCCCTCCTGTCCATCAGAGCAGCCCAAGAGCCTCTCCCCTGGGCCGCTGACGTCCGGGGTGTCCTGCCAAAAACGGCCTCTGGGGAACTGGCGTCGGGCATCAGAACACAGGCTCCGGGTACCCTTGCAAGCACTCCCGGACGTGTTCATTCCGACAGACTCTGATGGGGAGGCGCAGGGCCTGGCTCAGCCTCTGCGGGCAGCGTGGCCCCAGGAGGGCGGCGGGGGGAGGGCTGGCCGGGCAGCCAGGGGCCTGAGCGCCGTGTCCTGTGTGTCCCTGTAGATTTCGGGCTGAGTAAAGAGGCCATTGACCATGACAAGAGAGCCTACTCCTTCTGCGGGACGATCGAGTACATGGCGCCCGAGGTGGTGAACCGGCGGGGCCACACGCAGAGCGCAGACTGGTGGTCCTTCGGCGTGCTCATGGTACGGCGTGCTCGCGGTGGGACACCCATAGTCTGCAGGCGCCCGGGTCGCTGTGCCCCTGTGTGCCTGCGCATCCCCGGAGCTCAGAGATCCGGGAACAGCCCAGGAAAACAATGCCCGTTGTGTGACTCATCCGTCCCCGAGCCTGGCATTTCCTGGCAGCCTCCCCTCCGTCCTCCCCAGGCTCCCAGCATCGGGAAACAGAGCAGGGATTCAGCTAAGGATACAGATGTGTGAAGAGTCAGAACTTCTTGATCCTTAACACCCTTAACATTATTTGAAAGGGTGCGGCCATTTCCAGATTAAAGACATTTTTCTTATTTCAATCACAGAATCCCTCCATTTAGTCATAAAAGTCACCACGAACCAAAACACACGGGTGGAGCTTTTTTACATCTACGTCTAGAAACGTGGATTTTCTTCGGATCGTGTGTTCGCAGAGCAGGCGGCAAACACTGTCTAGACGGGCCGTCCCGTAGGCACGGCAGAAGTGGGGCTGGCCCACGGCCCCCTGTCCTCAGCCCTCCCTGTCCCCTGCCCCCGTCCCGCCCCCTGCACCGGGCCCCGGGCTGGCGGCCCCTCACGCTTGCGTGCCCTCAGCAGGAACCAGACCTCAGAGGCTCCCGGGTCTGACGCTGGATGGGGGAAGCATGGTCGCCTCTCCGGGTGGTCCAGCCCCCTCCTCCTTGTGCGTGTAACGAACGAGGAGACCGAGTGACAGGAATTCTCGGAGATTCCACAGAGCTTGTTCGGCTGCCTCTTTCCAGCACATGCCTCACACCCTGGCCATGGGACCTCTGGACTGTGTCCTGCAGGGTGTCACCCGTGTGCCTTCCAACTGGTACCCAGGAGGCTCACTCCATCTCTAGGTTCTGGCCCTTGGTGCTGCAGACTCAGAAGTGCGGGCTGATGGGACTTGTCAGCACAGACCACTGACCACTGTCTGCAGGGCAGACAGGTCAAACCAGCTCGGGGGCGGGGGGCGGGGGGTGGCAGTCAGTTCCCACGGCCTCAGCCTGGACGGCAGGGCACGGGTGTCCAGAAGAGACCACCCACCACCCTGGGCAGCGCCCCCACCTCCAGGGTCAGTGTGATCTCTCTCCTCCAGACACTCACAAGGAAGTCAAACTGTGATGAGAAGGCTGCTCCCCAAACAGTCACAGAAAATGATGCAGGTTAATCCAGGCAAGGCAATTGGCATAAGCGCCTGGCCTCACGCGGGCCCCATGAGTGCTGGCTGCCAGGGCGCTGGTGAGGCTCGCTGTGTTTGTGGTTATTTAGACCTTGAGCAGCCTCAGCTGAGACGCAGTCCATCCTCCCAGCAAAGGCCCCTGAGATGGGACGTCCAGCTGTCCCTTCTGACCAGCCGTCTCTCTTTAGACACATCAGTGAGACCGTCAGGTTGGCTTCTCCCCTGCAAGGTAACCACCTCCGCAGCTCTGCTCTCGTTCACGTGGGTGCTTCCCCGTCACCATGTCTGGAGGGTGCGCAGTGGGGGTGGGCGCAGGGCGTCAGCACCCTCACTGCAGATTTTACCAGAAGTTTGGTATCACCTTCCTGACATGGGCTTCCCGGTCCCAGGTCACAGTTCTGTATCTTCAGGAGTGATTCTGGTTCTTCAGCCTACATCCGCCTCCATCCCCCCGAACCCCTCCATCCCCCTGAGAAGCACAGGGCGGGGTGGGCTCCCTGAGGGCCACCAGCTTCCTCCCGTCCCTGGACCCCGTCCCTACACTCTCAAAGCCTTTAGGGTATACACTGGGCTCACCAGAGACCGCACAGTGGTTCCCCCGGGAGCCCGTGCCCGAAGCTCTGAAGTCACAGGATGCCACGCATGCCTCTGGGTACCTGATGTTTACCAATAGCAGAGGAGGAGGCTGGCCTGAGCCCAGGGAGAAGGACCGCCTTAGCGGCCACCACAGAAGACTGCACACAAAACCACACCCAGCAGAGCCAGCTGGAGTTAGCGCTGTGAGGCTTCCGGGGGAGCCGGGACATGCCGTCCACCTCGTCTGTGTCTCTATATATTAAGACAACAGGCATAAAATCTATCCCAGGAAGATAAAATATGCCTTACATGCTGTTTTCTGGTCAAAATCATTGCGTGTTTAATAAATGGAGAGACTGAAAGGAAAAAAAGGAACAGTGAAGACAGAAAGTAAGATGAAATGAGAAATGACTGAGGTGGGAGAGACGTGAGAGGCAGAGTGGAGAGAGAGGAGGGCCGGGAGGAGACGCTCATGCTGTGTCCTCTTGGCGCTTGGCCTCATCTTGGCTCATGAACACAAGTATTTGTCTCATCTTGTGTCATGAACACCTGTCTCCGCGAGGGTCTGCCGGGCACAGGGGAGACCCTCACGGGTCCAGCCCAGGAAGATCTGGGCCCCAAGGGTCCACAGGCAGTGACAGCAGAGTGGGCCTGGGTGGCCCGGCCACCTGACCCCTGTGTCCCGGGAAATGGCCCCCAACCTTGGAGAGCCCAGAGAGGCTGGCCCCTCGCCCCTGCTGTCTGCCGTGGTCCTCACTGCAGGGACTGTCTGGCCACCCTGCTCTCGGGCCCAGGACACTCCGTCCTGAATTACCCACCTAGGAGCCCGTCCACTCCACTTTCAGTGTCTCGTGACCGCTGGGCCGGGGGATCACAGTAGGGTGAAGGAGGAGGGTCGTCCGGGTGATGAGTCTGCACAGCTCTCAGAGTCCTCACATTTGATCCGGACTGAAAGCTCTCTCTCCCCTCCCCTGCCCTGCCTCCTCCTCGCCGAGCAAATCCACTGCCTCCACCAGGGAAGGACGGGTCCTCAGTCGCCCCCGTGGAAGGTGTGTGGCCATGTCCTGCTGCCTCTGCAGGTCCCCGTCCTGGCACTGACCCCCGCTCCCTGCCGTGGAGCTGAGTTATTAACCATCGCCCGCCCATCCATCTCCACACTGAACGCCGAGCCCCACCATGTGGCTCTGTTCTAAGCAAGCACGTGGGCCAGCACCCGCATGTAACTGACCAAGCTTCTGAGTGGCCACGTGAACTCGGGCACACTCTGCCCGTCTGGGTCTGTCCACTGGGCGGTGGGCTTGGTCTGAACACTTGCTCCCATTCTGTGTTGCTCTGCAGTTTGAGATGCTCACGGGGTCGCTGCCATTCCAGGGGAAGGACAGGAAGGAGACCATGGCCCTCATCCTCAAGTGAGTCAAACTCCCACCTTGGGATCCACCCCAGCACTTGCTCGCCCCTTCTGATAGCAAGAGCTTCTGTCTTCGAAACCAGGCATTTCCAGTAGGCAATGATGGTAGTGAGCGTCCTTGGCATTTCCCTGTCAGTGGATAAAGCAAGTGGGTTGTGATTCTGAAGAAATCTTTTATCAAAGATTCCATTTCCCATCCGTGAAACCCATCAAAGTTGTCTGGTGGCAGGGTCTTTAGACATGATGGCTGAGAACCTTCAGAAATGCAGACTCAGGGGCAGGGGGAGGCAGGGGCTCCCAAGAGAGCCTCCCTGCTCTGCCTGTTGCTGGCTCATGCTGGGGCCTGAGCTCTCCTGCCTGACGTGGGGAGGACTTGTGTGTCCCACGTGATTGAGTGCGTGCATGCTAAGTCACTTCAGTCGTGTCCAACTCTTTGCGGCCCCATGGACTATATCCTGCCAGGCTCCTATGTCCATGGGGTTTCCCAGGCAAGAATACTGGAGTGGGTTGCCATTTCCTCTTCCAGGGGATCTTGCCAACCCAGAGATTGAACCCACGTCTCTTACATCTTCTGCATTGACAGCTGGGTTCTTTACCACTAGTGTCATCTGGGAAGCATGTGACTGAGTGTGAGCATAATTTTCTTCTTAATGTTCATGCAGAATCTTGTACAACGAAAATAAATTTTGCTCTTAGAACCCTAGAAAGACATCTAAACGCAGAGCCAGTCTTTCTGTAATATCCTTTTTTAAAGCATCATTTAATTTATTGGCTGCACAGCATGGCTTCTGGGCTCTTAGCTCCCCGGCCAGGGATCGAAGCCACGCTCCCTGCAGTGGAAGCGCCAGGTCCTAACCACTGGACTGGCAGAGAAGTCCCTTGCTATAACACCTTAAATGTGAACAGGCTTCATCTGAGCCAGATGTCAGATAGCAAGCCGTGGGAGAGAGAGAAGCAGGCAGAGGGCAGACGAGAGTGGGGAAGTGGCCCCTGGAACAGGTGGACTCCAAGTCACTCCAGAAGGTCTCCCTGCTCGGGGGGTGGGGGGGGGGGCGGGGCGGAGGGGGGCACTCACCACACCTGCAGGAGAAGCTATGCAGCTGCTTGGCCTCATGACCAGCTCTCTCAAACTCTGCTTGCAGGTGGACACGCAACTTTTATACAACCAAGAGGCACCTACAAACCTTGTGCTTTTTTAGATCATGTCATTTTATAAATAGAAGGAGACATCCCATAAACAGTGTTTTCTTGTATCAGGTGACCTTATACTGTGATGACATGCGTAACTACAATCTGCTGTTTCTATTGATGGCCTCTGCTCCTTTTCATTCTAAGAGGGCACAAGACCATTTTCGGGAACTAGAGTAATTTCCCCCCCAGCAAATCCCAGGTGTGAACTTACAGCCTGTCACTTGGGAGTGACAGCATTTCTGAAGGGGCAGTGCCAGACTGTGGTCACATGGTTCCTGAAGGGAGGTGGGGGGTGTCCAGAACCCCAGGGGCCTGCAAGGCCCTCCTTTCCCAGATGTGACCACAGACTTAACTGGACACAGATGGGAGAATCCAGCTGCCTCATCAAACTGAGAGATTCCCAAAATGTCAGCAATGCCACTCATCTCTCCAAAGTCTTTGATGTCGTTGTCTCAGGAAACAGTTAATTTCCATTTAAAATGTTACTTATGTTCATGGGAGCATTGCTGTTTATCTTCAGGGGCTTTATTGTTTTTTAATGAAGTATTAAACAGCTACTGTGCATAGCTGCTCTGGTCACATTGGTTTGATTGGATTTCTCTGTGGATGCCGACTGCAGAAACCCAGAGCACTGGGGCAAACTCTGGTCCCCCTCTGCTCATCCTTCTTCCCCTAAAATATGATTGTGCTTTTCAGAGCCAAGCTAGGCATGCCGCAGTTCCTCAGCGTGGAGGCCCAGAGTCTGCTGAGAGCGCTCTTCAAACGGAACCCCTGCAACCGGCTGGGTAAGCCCCCCTGACCCCTGAGCCAGCCGGGGCTGCCCGGGGGGTGCTGGGTGGCTGGAACGTGGAGGACGCGCAGGTGTGAACCAGGGGGGAGCGGAGCTCAGGAGGCGCCCTGCGTGGCAGCAGCGGGTGGGGGGCTGGACTACCAGGACCCCGTCCCCCCGGCACTTCCTTGCTGTGATACCTTGAGCAGAGCGCTGCCCCCTATGTGCCTGGGTTCCCACCTGTGAAGCGAGGGTCATGGCAAAGCTTCTTCACGGGGCTGTGAGGAAGACCTCCAGAGCCAGCATGGTACCCGCCACGTAGGAAACACGCAGTGTGTGTGACAAACGAAGGTGTGAAACTCAGAGATAATCGGAGTGCACAGACCTGGGGGTGGGGAGGGCATCTTTCTTTCCCCACCGCTTGGACAGACAGAGTCATCGGAGGCTCAGGTCCTGGCAGAGGAAACCATCGTCCTGTGCAGTGCGTCTTAACAGGTCTTGTTAAACTGTCCCCCGAGATCACTGCAAGAAAGGCAGAGTGGGCGAGGAGGGACTGTTGGGCTGTCTCTGGAAGGGCCGGCAGCACTAGACAATGAAGCATGAAGCGCCCGGCTGGGTCCTGAGTTCACGCCAGAAGCAGAAGCAGAGAGGACCAGCTGTGGAGCAGAGGAATCCCTCTAGTCTGTCACCCTGAGAAGTCATCACACAACCTGCCACCAGTAGCTCTGCTGATGATCGAAACTTTGATTTCGGTACCAAGTTTTGTTATGAAAATCTGCCCAGTCTCTGCCTTGTCGTTTGTGAGTGCCAGGACAAACTCCGGACACCTGTTCCGTTACGGATGCATATGTGAGCATGTGTGCAAAGCGCCTGCCTCCTAGGTAGCAGGCACCACTCCACTCCCAGCTGCTCTGCCCTTGGGCAGTGCCCAGGTGTGGTCTCACCTGCCTAACCTCCCCAGTGGTAGACACTGGAGTCAGGAACTGGAAATGAAGATGTTAGCTCATTTATCCACTGAAACACACAGCAGAACAAACAGTTCAAGTCTCATCCCTTGCAGCGATTGAAGAATTCTGTCGTGGGAGTCCCTCTTTTCTTTCAAATATCACAGCATTTGGTGGGGAGAATTCTCGTGGAGAACCAGGTGACTATAACCAAGCGGAGGGGAGGGGAAATGTATTTGTTCTTCCTTTGTTCTGGAAAAAGGAAATAATCTTCTGAATCTACTTTTGTCTTAGAATTTAACATCACAAAAATCATAGCTCTCTAACCCAGAATATTGTTCTGTTATTTAGTTTGCATACCTGATGAGAGAGAAAGATGGATTGATCTCATTAGGTGGATAAATAATCATCAAATTATACTAGCCTAGTGGAGCCTGCTGCAGCCTGGAAAACAGCCCATCCATGGCCAGAGACTGCCCTCCTGATAATCTCTAAAGTGAATTATTGTAAAGGTTTCCAGGAGTTATGGACCATCCTGCAAGACCACTTCATATTAATGTCATAGGATATGCAGACTCATGTAAAGAGGAAATCATAGTCAGAATTATTACTCACCCAGCTTGACCCAGGTCGGCTACTAAATTTAATTGCCTTAAATCTTTGGCCTATAAAGTGAAAATTATGTTGTGTAGATTAATTTTGCTCTACACAGGCGGCTAGATTAGAAGGCTGGGACTTCTTCCCCCTGTTGATTGCCTTGAGCCTTATTCTTGACCACCCCCCTCCCCAAAGTCCCCTGGCCGTTTGGTGAGTTTGTCAACATCAGATCTCACCAAACCCTGGGTCCTCTCATCAGTCTGTGGTTTAACCCCATCACCTTCAAGTCAACCCAGATCTCTGTCCATTGATCCTTGAACTGTAGAGGGGTCCCCTTTGTCCAAATTTCCGCTCTTAAGCTATGACCAACTTAGAAAGCATATTAAAAAGCAGAGAGATTACTTTGCCAACTAAGGTCCGTCTAGTCAAGGCTATGGTTTTTCCAGTAGTCATGTATGGATGTGAGAGATGGACTATAAAGAAAGCTAAGCGCCGAAGAATTGATGCTTTTGAACTGTGGTGTTGGAGAAGGCTCTTGAGAGTCCCGTGGACTGCAAGGAGATCCAACCAGTCCATCCTAAAGGAGATCAGTCCTGGGTGTTCATTGGAAGGACTGAAGTTGAAGCTGAAACTCGAATACTTTGGCCACCTGATGCGAAGAGCTGATTCATTTGAAAAGACCCTGATGCTGGGAAAGATTGAAGGCAGGAGGAGAAGGGAACAACAGCAGATGAGATGGTTGGATGACATCACTGACTCGATGGATGTGAGTCTGAGCAAGCTCCAGGAGTTGGCAATGAACAGGGAGTCCTGGTGTGCTGCAGTCCATGGAGTCGCAAAGATTTGGACACAACTGAGCGACTGAACTGAACTGATCAGGACCCTAGCCATATGGGGTCAGTGGCCACCTTGCCCCAGGGTGAACTGATCCCAACTAATCACATTTCCAAATAAGGTTGCCCATGAGGTTCTGGGGTTAGGACTTGACCACATGAATCTGGAGGAACACAGTTCAGTACCTCCGAGAGAGAGTCCATAGCATCTGCAGTGGAAGAAATGGCGGAAGTTCGTCTGATTGGTGTCACACAGCTGGCAGGTGACGAGACCGAGGCCCTTGCCCCAGATCCCCTGCTGGAGGCGCTGTGGCTGCCGAGCCTAGAGATGGTGTTTCCACCTGGTCATCCCCTGAAAGCCCGGCATCCTCACCCGACGAGTCCGAGTCTACGTCCCCCAGCCACTGCTGGCCACGGGCGTGCGCTGTGCAGCGAGGTGCCCTGCACACCTGTGGTGGGTGCTGGGGACACAGGTCGGTGATGCTTCCCGGGAAACCCAGTCATGTGGGTGAAGAGGCCAGAAGTCTCAGGTGGACACACCCCTGCCTTTTCCCTGCAGACCTGAGAGGAGGAGCCAGCAGAGGGAGCCCCCTCCGGGCAGGATGCAGCGCCCGAGGGGCACGAGGCAGGGGCAAGGTGGGGCTGGGGGGACAGGCAGATGGAGAAGGTAGGCGGGCCCCCAGCCAGGCCTGGCAGAGGCTGCGTGGCCAGTGGGTGGGACAGCAGGAGCAGGGTTCTTTTCTGTGCCATAAAAGGAGACATTTTACTTTTATATTTGTCAAAAACGGAGTCAAATTTGTGTCTATTTCAACCATGGTGCAAGTGGACCCAGCAGCTGGAAGACTGGATTATTTGGGCTTCGCCCTTGTTTATTACGCACTGTGGTCTGTTTGGTGATGGAAGCAGGCGCGAAATATACCGGCAGCGATAGTCAGGAGGGCCCCCTGGCAGGACTGCCTGAGGACCTGGGATGGTGTCTCCAAGCCTTGTGTGTGTATCAGCGTGGGGGTCGGTGGGGGGCATGGGTTCTGGGCCGGAGAAACACCGCGCACAGTCCTGGAGGATCCTGTAGCACGTGAGAGCACGTGTGACCTCATGCGGCTGAGGGGAGGGGCCGGGGAGGCCATGCAGACTCAACAGTCCACCTTGCAGTCCCCGAAGGATACAGCGAGGGGGGCACGGCGATCTGGTTTCTCAGCTGATCATTCTGGTCGTGAATTAGAGAAGGACCCTCCAGGGGTCCCTAGCTCATCCCTGTGAACATCTGCAGCTTCTCTGGAGAGTCCTGGGACTTCCCGGGCTCCTGGGAGACCAGGCAGCAGGGTCTGGAGTCAGACGTGCCGCTGAGCATAAAACAGCATCACCAGTAAACTGCCACCAACCGCCCTGGGCACATTGGGGGCAGGGCCGGCCGCTCAAGAGGGTTCTGCCCTTCCGGTTCGTCTCTCCTTTCCAGAGTCCATCTCCACAGGCTGTGCTCTCCTGATCTGGGTTCAGACCCCGGCCACCCTGCTCTCCAGTCATCTCCTCCAGCCCTGCTGGCATCACCAAGACCTTAAGTGCTGGGCCGCCTTTGATGGCTTGGTCATGACGAACACCCTGCCCCTCGCTGGGAGCTGACGGTTCCACACCAGCCCTGAGGATCTGTTGGGGCCCTGCCCTCAGCCGGCAGGGCTCTGGGAGATAAGACAGCTACGGCCGAGCAAAGATCCTAAGCATCAAATGAAATATCAAGCTGACCGAAGATACTTCAAAGCCATAAAAATGATGTGTAGATGATCTGTGGGTGATGAAGACATAAAAAGGAGACCTAGTGTTCAAATCCTGGGCAGCTGTAGACTGGCCTTCAGGAGTGTGCAGGTTCGATGGAATGCAAAGTACGCGAGGAAAATAGCCAGATGTGAGCGGATTGTGAACACGCCCGAAAGAACTAGAGAGCGACTCTGTGCGACTCTCAGACAACAAACACAGCACCAACTAAATAGTTCAACAGTCACGAAGGGCCCAGGGATTAAACATTTCCCCAAACCTTCTGTGGCCAGGAAGATTCAAGGAAAACATTTTTGGCAGACCCTCAGAACTTTTGAGGGATGATTTACTGAGACTGTGGGAACTTGTTGATGATTGAGCCCAAGAGGAAATGAACAGGGTCGCCTTGTTAAAAAATGTGCAGTGGAAGGGCTCCAGGTGACCAGGGTCAGAAAGGGTCAGGTCCCGGCCACAGGCCCAGCGCTGCGTTTACAGCCGCGCCCAGTGGAGGTTGGTTCCCACGGATGTAACATCACCACTGGGCCAACACAGAGAAATCCAGACGTGGTCCAGAGAGCTGCCTTCGGGAAGACAGCCCTTGAGTGATCACAGCAGAAGTAATTAAATGTGGTACTTACTCTCACTGCAGAGAGTAAGCGTGAATTCTTGAATCTGCATATTTGGCTGGCACTGGGATCTTAATGAAGGCTCGCTAAACCGCCTAGAGCTTGCTCTTCTGTTCTTAATGTTTCCATCCATGCTCACCTGCCCTTGGGGGCACTTGCCTCTGGGGACAGAGTGAGGCTTGAGTGCATTTGGTGACAACCCCACAGCACGTCAGCCGAGATTCAGCAATGAGCAGACTCCGCCGACTCTCCCAGGATGGATTTCTGCTCACCGCTGTTTGTCAAGTGTGTTTAAGCAAAAAGGAGTTGTCAGCTGCAGAGTAGACTATGTTAACTTGTTTCTGGAGAGGATGAATAGAACTGGAATCCAAAATAATCACCCCACTTTCCCTAGGAAGGTTGACACAAGCTTCAGAGAGCTGCATGCAGAAACGTTCTGTTTTACATTTCCCTGCTTTGGAATACTTTTAATTTTTGAGTCATAACCAAAGTGTCAGTTCACCGTCGAGTGTTTCCTGAGGCCTAGAGCACAAACATGGTGCAGAATCTCACTGCAGTGGAAGAAGGTGCAGATAAAAATGTGCCCAAGAAGACCCAGCTGGTACAACAGAGACTTGTAGTTATACCAGCACCTGTATTTCCTGTCTGTCCTGTTTTGTTTCGATTCCTGCAGCATGTACTTGCAAATAATGAATGGGCATGAAATGCAATGGGTAAAACATGCAAAAAAGACTGGTGAAAGTATTTATCACTCAGTCATGTCCAACCCTTTGCGACTCCATGGACTGTAGCCTGCCAGGCTCCTCTGTCCATGGGGATTCTCCAGGCAAGAATACTGGAGTGGGTTGCCATTTCCTCCTTCAGGGGATCGTCCCAACCCAGGGATCGAATCTGGGTCTCTTGCATTGCAGGAGGATTGTTTACCATCTGAGTCACCAGGGAAGCCCAGAAACAGAACTGAAAGAGTGTAAATCAGAGGCAACTTTTCATTTTGCGTTAATCATGGTGGCCAGAAGTCTTTTTCAGTCTTGAATCCTGGGCTTCCTCAAAGGAGGCCTGCGTGCAAGTGGGCGCAAAGCCAGAACGTTCATTCTCGACATGTTCCAGCAGCTGCCTGGGCACCTGGGAGGGCCGCCAGGTGCTGGGGACGCCCAGGCTGGACCAGATCTCCGGGCTGAGGTCAGGGCTTTCTATGGAGATGGGCACGGACTTGCGGAGGGTCCTCAAACAATACTTTCTCTCCACTACTGACAACACTCCTGACACTAGACGCTTGGGGTTTCCACACAGATGGACGCTCCCCATCTCTGCAGACACCCACTGGGCCCTAGGATTCAGCGCAGTTCTGACTGCCTGAGTTATCCTGAACCCCAGAGGGTCACGGTCACTCTCATCAGGCCCCCCACCTTAGACACCAGCCGGGGGTCCCAGGTCGTCGCTATGCTTCCTGCTGACCAGGTGTAAGCCCAGGGTTCCCGGGACCACCCCCCACCCCACCCCCCAGCTTTGGTAATTCAGAGAGCAGATCCCAGACCTCAGGAAGGTGCTCCTGTGACTGTTACTGATTTATTGCACAGGATGCTCTAAAAGATTAGATGAGGGACTTCCCTGGTGGTCCAGGGGTGCAGTGGCTCACTTAGTGGGAAAGCCCTGTGACGTGTCTGCCTCCCCGGGTCCCTGGAGGGGGATATTCTGGGTCTGACCCCTTCCTCCTGTCTATGGTTATTTGCACATCAAAGGGCTGATCGCAGGTCCTGGAGGCTAGTGTGGTGACAGGGGCCGGGGGCTCTTTCCCACAATGCTGGCCTGGCCAGGATTGTCCTCCGAGATGACCTGGTGCCACGGGCAACTTCTCGATGAGGCCCACAGCAGGCTGTGTCTCCTGGGACCCCCAGTGTCCCGGAGGAGGGTCCCTCGGCTCCTCAGGCTGGACGGTGAGGCCGGGTTGGGGGCTCCACGGAGACCACAGTGGTTTGAGGTGGCCACCTGCCAACTGTCCCCCACGTCTTCCTGCCTCTCCCGAGGATGAGACTTAAGGTGGGGTGGGGGCGGGCTGAACCTGGGCCAGGTTCTGCACTGGCGCAGGGCTGGGCCCCTGGCGCTCAGGGGTGCCTCCCACACAGCCTGTTCCTTTGAGCCAGAAAGCCTTTTTCCCTCAACGTGCAGCAGGCATTGGACTTGCCCGCTGGAGGCGGCCCGCCACCCCTTCCCACGTCCGTGGCGAATCCCGCCTTCGTTAGTGTTGATGAAGCCACGTCAGCACGTATTCACTCCCCAAGATGTGGAGGTCCCGGCAGGGTTCACTCTGGGAGGCGTGGGACCCGTGCCGACGTGCATCCGCCATCAGGGGTCAGACAGTCCCGCTGCCCTGATGTCCTCCGTGCGCCCCCTCCCTCGGGCCTCGGAATAGAACGTCAGCGGCAAAGCGGGCAGGGGTGAAGCAGGAATAAGCAATGGGCAGCTCTGTTGGCACTCAGTCTCCAGTGCTCACAGGGTGGGCGCGGCTCCCTGTGGCCCGTCTCCAGTGCTCACAGGGGTGGCGCGGCTCCCTGCTGGCCCGTCTCCAGTGCTCACAGGGGTGGCACGGCTCCCTGTGGCCCGTCTCCAGGCTCCTTTTCTGCAGGACACGGGCGCCCTGGGCCCTGCCTTCCTCCCCGGGAGCCCTGAGCCAAGTCTCTGTGCTGGTCTCCCTGCACCCTCACCCGTGTCCTCATCCTGCAGGAAGGCCCGGCCCGCGGCTGGTCCTGATGGAGGCCTCCACGTCCTCACCCAGCTGCCCCAGCATCCCACAGCTACCGCTGGGGCATCTACCTGCCCCTCCCCCGCCCCCTCTCAGCTGGTCACAGCCCTGCAGGGCGGCATGGTAACCTCTGCAGGGTCTGAGGTGGGCAAGGGGGTGGGGCTGGCAGGAGACGGGGCAACTGGGGCTGCTTCTCCCTGGAGGTCGTCGGGACCACCCTGCACGTTCCCCCAGCACCCACCTCACTGCTGCGTCAGAGGGTGTGCAGTCACGTCTCTGCTGTGACATCAGAGGGCGTGCAGTCACGGGTTTGCTCTGACATCAGAGGATGTGCAGTCACGGGTTTGCTCTGACATCAGAGGATGTGCAGTCACGGGTTTGCTCTGGCATCAGAGGGTGTGCAGTCACATCTCTGCTCTGGCATCAGAGGGTGTGCAGTCACGTCTCTGCTCTGACATCAGAGGGTGTGCAGTCACGTCTCTGCTCTGACATCAGAGGGCGTGCAGTCGCGTCTCTGCTCTGATGCTCTCTGCTCTCTGGCCCCCCAGGTGCTGGCCTGGACGGTGTGGAGGAGATCAAGCGCCACCCTTTCTTCGTCACCATCGACTGGAATGTGAGTTGCTGGCTGGGTCCCTTCTGCATGGAAACCGCGGGGAGGTGGGGCTGGGGGTACACGGGCGTGGCAGCTGCTGGGTACAGACCAGCAGTCGGTGCAGACTGTCCCCTGGAGACGGGCGTTCCCTCGGGAGTTCCCAGGCACAGGCCGGGGAGCCCCCACCTCCCCCGCAGCTCTAGGCCTGGAACCCGTCCAGCCCTTTGCCGGTTGGAGACCGTAGGCCCCCGTGGCCCTACAGCCCTCCTGCCTTCCTGAGGACTGAGCCGAGGACACCCTGGGCTGCTCCCGGCTGCTCGGAGCATTGGGTGTGGAGCCTCTGGGCCCAGACTGGGGGCGGCTTCCTGCCTGGAGTCAGGGTCCTGCCCACACTCAGCTCTCACTGCTGTGGAAGCTGTTACAGAAAGGCATTACCCAGAGCGGGGAAGACAGTTGTCTGTGATGCTTGTTCAAGACCTAAGGAAGACTTATTCGGGGAGCCGTCACAATGGTGTGAGGACCACTTCGGGGGTGGGTGTCTTGCCTTAGGAGAGAGGTGGGGCGAGGACCAGGGGTCAGTGGGCAGAAGGTGATTAAGGGGAAACACCTGGGGGTTCCAGCTAAACCCACCTGCCAGGACTCGTGCTGAGGCGGGCATCGTGATCGAGCCAGGTCGGTGTCCAGGGTGATGAGATGTGGAGGGCAGGGGGTCGTCAGACTGACTCGGGACTCCTGCGGGAACTGGACAGAGCGAGAGGGGGCCCCCACAGCCCCCGCTCCGCCCCACGAGAGCCCGGGAACACTCGCCCTGGGGGACTGGGGGTTCCAGACCTAGAGCTGGGGCTCGGGTGAGACACAGCACATTAGACCTGGCTGCCGAGGTGAGAGGAGCCTTGACTCCTTGGCGATGAGGTGCCTGGGAAACCCGGGCTGCCCTGCAGGGGTGGGGGCTGTGCTGGGAGGTGACCAGCGCAGGGTGGGAGGGGAGGGCACCCAGCAGCCGCCCCTCTCGAGCCTGGCTGGGGGCCGTGGGCAGACAGGCTCACCCCCTGCCTGGACGAGGAAGGGGCTTGTCCTGGGACGGGGGCCACGTCAGCGTCTCAGGGTGCATGGAGTTTTCGCAGCACGATGGCCGGGGACACTGCAGGCTGGACTCCGTGCGTCCCCGAGAGCGCAGGTCTGCGAGAGCCCTGGGCGAGGCCGCGGTGCCCGGCTGGCCCTGACCCTGCGCTCGGGGCAGAGTCCCCGGACTCCTATGCCAAGAAGGTGACACATCCGTGTTCCATCAAAGCAAATCGGGCTGCAGTTAGGTTGGCAAGCTTCTTCTGCTGTTTTTAGTGCTTCGTTTCACTTGGGTTTGCTTTGGTGTTTGAGAGAGGCCCTCGGATGCACTCAGACAAGCTTCCCTGCCAACATCTCATGTCTCGGGGGTCGGGTGGGGGGAGGACGAGCAGAGAGGTCTCCCTGAGCCCCCCGCTCTGAGACCCCACTTGGTGCAGGCGGACGTGTTTCATGACCACTGGGTGCTCCCCCGCGTCCAGGTGAGCAGGTGCCCAGGATACAGCGATGGAAAGACACCGCCACCCTCCAGCCGCTCCGAGCCCGGGGGGACCGCCGTCCATCGTCCAGCCACAGAGGCGGCTGCGCAGGGCGCCCCGTCGGGGTGGGGGCGGGGCTGCAGAGGGGGCTGATGAGCGGGGCGGGGGCGGAGGGAGGGAGTCCCTGCAAAGACCTCCCACCTCCCAGGGCTGCAGCCTCAGTCCAGCCTCCCAGGTCCTCCCCGGGACGAGGAGCCGGCAGCCTCTCCAGCCCCCCAGGTCCTCCCCGGGACGAGGAGCCGCCATCCTCTCCAGCCCCCACGGCACTGGGTCAGCCAGGCAGGGGCTGCTGTGTCCTGGTCAGCCTCGGGCCCAGCCACATCCCCGGGCCAGGGGCCAGCCCTGGCTCCAGGAAGACAGACCAAACAGGTCTGTCCAGTGGTCCGTGCTCTGCTCCCAGCAGCCTCGGTAACTGGAAACCAGAGGGGCGGCCCCTCTGCAAAAACTGTTAATACCAAGAGGCCGTCCCGCTGCCAGACAGACGCTCCAAAAATGACAATGACATGACCTCGCCTTGACTGGTCGGTGACTTTACCCAGGGGCGTCCTCGGCACCAGCCTGGAAAATAGAAGGACATGATTTCACCTCTGCTACCTTCTCTGACCCAAAACTGCCAGCGGAAGTTCTTGTTGTTTTTTTTAAGTACACCTGTCATCCCACACGTCTTCTCCCCGGGGTCTTTGGTTTCCTGGCAGGACCGCGTGAGTGCGTGGTCTGTGCCCTTGGGGGTCACTGCCCCGTTCATCCTGCTTTGCCACCAGCTCACCCCCAGAGCCTGGCAATTATTAGCACCTTCCCAGGGGAGCACTGCCCCTGCAGGCTCACTCCCTGCGTCAGGAGAAATGAAAAGTGATGCGTTGGTGATGGACTGCACGCCTCTGTGGGCAGTGATGGGAGCGCGGGTGCAGGAGCTGCGTCTACTTTTTCTGGTGGCTGGAGCCACGCTGAGAACAGAAACGAGCAGAAGCCCCAGATAAGCTTCGTCAGGGGCCTCGAGGCCTCGAGCCGGGCCCGGAGCCCTCCAGCCCCGTCAGGCTCCTCTCGGGAGGGATGAAGCGTCCTCCCCGGGGCCCTCCCTGTAACGTGACGCCTTGTGATTGCAGCTGCACCCGTCAGGGCTGGAGTCAGGCTTGTGTTGTTCTTTTCACTTTCTGAAACCCTTCCAAGCACATCGCCAGAGTCACGCGCGAGGTGGGAGGGACTCCTGGGGGAGACTGAGGCTGAGGGCCGTGAGAGGAGCGCCCTCGGACCCGGGGAGCCCGGCAGCACGTGGACCGGCAGCTGTGGAGTGGGGCTCTGGGCATAGTGGGGCTTATTAGGCACAGAGGGCGGGCTCCAGGGGCCTGGGTGCTGGGAGCTTGCAGCTGCCACTCAGCATCTGCCGTACCAGGGTCCCCTCCACGGCCCCCTGGGAGGTTTCTCTAGATTTGCCCCCATGTTAAATACCCCAGAAGGACCCGCCCTTCCAAGGAGCCAACAGGTGTCTGTTCAAGGACTGATCGCCCTCTGGCTCAGGGGTTTTGTAAACCCAGATGCCGGGGTTGGAACGCTCCCGGTGGGGTCTCCCCCGGAGGCAGAGCTGTGCGCCGCATGGACCAGACACCCCAGACCCGCCCACGGCGCGCTGAAGCCTTTGCACTGCATCCTGTTCCTCCCCTCGTCCTGTCACCCTCTGCATCGTTTCTGCTATTTCAGGAAGCATCTCTCACGGTGCCCTTTGCCTAATTGGAGCGTGTTAATTTTGAAATGCCTGGAGCCAGAAGTGCTTGCAGAAAACAGATGTTCGGTCTGTGACCCCGAACTGCAATCAGTTCTCTCTTCCATTATCGAGTTGCTATTTTTGTTTTGCTCCTTCTGTCCTTCCCTAGTCACCTTTTAGGTATAAATAGAATTCAGATGCACCTGCTCCGAGAGCCCCAGTGTGTACACGTGATGTGAAACCCGTCCCAACATCGCTACAGTTCGTGTCATCCGAGATCCCAGCACAAGCGCTGGGATTGAAAGTGATGCTCATTGAACTCGGTCTTCAGACCCCACTGCCTTCCCATCGGTGTGGGGTGAATTGTCCCAGAGGCTCAGAGAGGGGGGTGCAGGTCAGAATTAGGAAGCTCAGAGTCCTCCACAAGATGGTGGGCCTGTCCACTCTCCATCTGACCCTGTGCTCAGCAGTGGATGTGACAGAATGAGAAGCAAGTTCCCCTTTTCTCTAAATCTTCAAACCCACTCCAAGGTTTGGACACAGGGAGACAAAAGACATGTATAAGAATAACACTGACTAGTGCTTTCCAGGCCTCGCTGGTGGCTCAGTGGTAAAGAATCCACCTACAAATGCAGGAGCCTCAGGCTTGATCCCTGGGTCGGGAAGATGCCCTGGAGTAGGCAGTGACTGCCCACTCCGGTGTTCTTGCCTGGAGCATTCCATGGACAGAGGAGCCCGGCGGGCTACAGTCCTTGGGGTCGCAAAGAGTCAGACGCGACTCAGCGACTAAACAACAGCAAAGCACTTGCTAAAATGTTTATCCAGTGACAGGAAGACATCTAAGACCGCAGCAAACACCGGGGTGCATCGGAAGGGCAGGGTGACCGAACACCGCAGGCGGCTTTGAGGCTTTTTGCTGCCCACTTGAAAGCAGAATGAGACTGCAGCAAGCGCCCGAGACGGGGGTCCGGGGCGTATTTCAAGGACAGGCTCCATCTCTGCAGCTCCCAGTGTCAGGGAAGAGGGGTCTTTGGGGGGCTTCCTGCTGCCCCCGCAGCAAGCCTTGCGGAGCTTTCTCCCACACCGTGTCTTGGGTCAGTCTGGCTCTCTGCAGCTGAGCACAGGCTTACAGAGGCCGTTCAGAAAGTGCACGGAAACATGGCCACGCTTGCACACGCTGCCGCGTGAAGCCTGAGGGTGCACAGGCTGCACACCCACTTCTGGGACTGGCGCGGTGGGCGCTGGATTCTGCCCTGGGGCAAAGCGGGGGCAAGTGTGGGCCGAGCACCATCCCAGAGCGGGGACCCCCGGGTGCCGTGTCCTCTCTGGATCCCCGAGTTATCACTCGATATTTCAACTTAAAATACGCGCTGCTCTCCACCCGGACGAAGCCGCAACAGCTCACTGCTGGGGGACCATCGGACTGCGATGACCTCACCTCCTTATATGTGAGGACTTGCAAGTGGGGGTCTGTGTCTCCTCCCAAGGGGTCAGCCTCCTGGCCAGGACCACCTCCTGGCTCCTAGTGGAGATGGGTAAAGACTTGGCCTGGGTGTTGAGTGAGGGGAGGAGCCGAAATGGTTGGGCTTCAGCCTCCAGGTGCAAGAGCTCTCCTTCGGATGAAATGACGACCCGTTCTGTGTGTGTGTGTTTACTGAGATACAGTTGGCATGTATTAGTTTCGGCGTTACGACAGAACAATTTGCTCTTTGTACGTATTGTGATGTGATCACCACAATAAGCCTAGATGAAATCTGTCGCCACACATAGTTGCATGTTTTCTCCTTTGGATGAGAACTCTCAGGATCTCCTCTTTCAGCAACTTTCAAGCATGCACCACCAGTCTTCTGATCTATAGTCAGCACGCGGTACAGAACCTCCCCAGGACTTATCCATTGTAAACTGGAGATCCGTGCCTTTAACCCCATCACCCGTTCCAGCCACTGGAACCCCCTCCTGCCCCTGGCCACCATGCGTGTGGTTCTCTTTCCTGGAAATCTCTTGTGTAAACAAGTGCCCCCTCGTCGTGGAAGCAGGAGACGGGCTCTGCTGGAGGTCCCTCCCCCCGCACCCCCTCCCCGTCCTCTGGGAAGTAGCAGGAGGACAAATATTTGGTGACTGGCCTAGTGCAGACACCCCAGGGGGAACGGCCGGTGGCGGGGGGCCAGGCTGGGCAGCCGGCAAGCTTGGTAACAGCGTGTGCTTTAACCAGAGTGTGGAGCTCGCCCTGCGTATTAGATTTGCCCTGACCAGTGCCTTTGTCAGGGAAGTGCGCGTGCACACACACACACACACACACCCCTGGTGCGTCAGCACAGAAAGCAGCATCTTTCCATTTCTGGAAAGGGTTTTCAGTTCAGTTCAGTTCAGTTCAGTCGCTCAGTCGTGTCCAACTCTTTGCGACCCCATGAAAACAGCACGCCAGGCCTCCCTGTCTATCACCAACTCCCAGCATTTACCCAAACTCATGTCTTTTGAGTCAGTGATGCCATCCAACCACCTCATCTTCTGTGGTCCCCTTCTCCTCCCGCCTTCAATCTTTCCCAGCATCACAGTCTTTTCAAATGAGTCTGCTTTCCACATCAGGTGACCAAAGTATTAGAGTTTCAGCTTCAACATCAGTCCAGTAACTCAATTCCTAATGAAATCTCTTCACCCAGGGCTGGAAACGACCAAGTAATGGGAGGCTGGATTAGCTCACTTTTCCTCCTCCGAGGGCTCCCAAGTGCACACCCCAGCTCCACGTGTGCACGCGCGGCCAAGGCCGCCCTGAACCCGAGAGGGAGCCCAGCGGTCAGCGGTCCGTGCGTCTGTGCGGGCGGCACCTTCTGCAGGGTGTGCTCTGGCGGGGTCTCCGCTGAGGCGGGAAGAGTCTGGAGACCCAGGCCCACCCCCCGCCTGTGCCTTTGTCACCCTTGACCCTGGAGGGGGTCTTACCTAACCTATTGTAGCTTAAGTTTTCTCATCTGTAAAATCAGTGGTGAAATCTGCTTTCTCGAGTTCCTAAGAGACTGGGAGCAACCCAGACAGGCCACTGCATCTGTTTGCAGACCCACCTATCAGGGGCCCTGAGTCCAACCTGGTGACCTGGAGCCCTGGGAAGGGCCCCATGTTCCCAGCTTGGGTCTGGGGGGCCCACCGGTGAGGCAGGCTTGGGAGAATGCGTGCTGGCAGATTGCAGCCAGACCTTCTCCTGGTTTCCACGCCCTGCCGCGGGGGTGCACGGCTCCCCACGATTGACGCCACCTGCTGCCTGTTCCCAGGGCGATCTGACTGAACCCAGGCCTCCCATTCCCAAATCCGCCTGGGTGGAACCCCTGGCCCACAGCTGGCATCACCAGGCCCTGCCGTTCCGGCGCCCACCTCCCTTCTCAGACGGGCATCCCGGGCCCTGGGGCTGCCCCGCTACCTCCCCCCACACCTCAGCATCATCCATCATGTGTCCTGCCCAGCTCTGAACGCCTTTGTGTTGCTCCTTAAAAGCAATCAGCAAGGAGTCAGGCTTGGAAGAACGTACGTGAGGGGGTGCCCTTGAACCCTGTCCAAGGCAGTCACTCTGAGACTGTCAGACCGCAGAAGTGGCTGGCTCTCTGACAGGCGCTCCATGGGCCTGTTCAAGTGTGCAGAAACGTGTATATCAACCGCAGAGCCCGACTCAGCCCCTGGACTTGGACAGAGGGGTCTGGAGGCCCGAATCCGGGAGCAGCCGGGATAGGTATCCCGGGACTTACACATACCCTGCGGTGTGGGTGAGGGGGACGCGGATGGGGTCGGTGTCCCAGCAACCGGCGGCATCCGAGCTGCTGGCTCCCAGTCGTGGGGGGACGATGCAGAGGAGCAGGGCTCTTCCTGCTGGTACCTGGGGGGGCGGATGTGACTGACCTGTCAGATGCTGCTTGAAGCAGATTCTACTGTGCAGAAATGATCGAAACTGTTGGGCTAAAATCAGAGTGTTTAGATGTCCCCAAAGCCTTTGCCCTGGAGCCACGGCCCCCACGGCTGCTTGTAGACAATGTGGCTCTGTCTGTCCTCAGCGCAACGTGTTTTCGGGGTGCTCCCGCACGTGTCAGAGCTGGGGGAAGGGTTCGGCGCCCTGGGGGGGCACAGGCGGCCCCTCCCCTGCGTCACCCCCGCCCTGCCGACCCTCAGTCCCCGCCCCGTCCTGCCGTCCCTGCAGAAGCTGTACAGAAAGGAGATCAAGCCGCCCTTCAAGCCAGCGGTGGGCCGGCCGGAGGACACCTTCCACTTCGACCCCGAGTTCACGGCGAGGACGCCCACAGGTGTGTGCGGGCAGGGTGGGGTGGCCTGGGCTACTTTCCCACGGGGTTCCTCTCGCTCGGCCAGGTGGGGCCAGGCACCCCGGAGTCAGAGGGCCCTACGTTCAAGGGCGCGTCCAGGGGCAGTCACCCTCAGGTCTGTTTGATGTTCTCATTTCTCCGCTTGTCATAAAGACAAACGTGATGAAACCACCTCTCCGTTACCCCCGGGGGACGCCTGGCCTGGAATCTCCCCAGTGCTCTTGCTCCATCTGCTCCCTCTTGGCCTGAGTTGCCGATTCCAGGGACTCACCCTGGCACGTTTGAGAAAAGAAGCTCGAGGCAATGAAAGTCTCATTTAATTAGCGGTTTTATGGGAAGAGGGAGGCTGTCAGCCAAGTCTGTAAATGCATGAACTGTTGATCTTATTCGTGCAAAGAACCAAACAGCTGTTTGAAACGTTGCATCAGCTCCTGTAGCTAAGCAGATGGACTAGCGAGTTTAGCTTCCACGATGCATCCTGAATTACTCCTAAGCTCTACCAAATTCAATCAGGACTGGTCAGCTCCCTTTAAAAGTTGTCATTCTGTGATATTAATGGCAAGCCACTCCAATATTCTGCCTGGGAAATCCCATGGACAGAGGAGCCTGGTGGGCTACAGCCCATGGGGTCGCAGGAGTCGGAAGGGCCTGAGCGACTGCGCATGCATTGACTTTTTTTTAAATACGGTGATTGTTGTTGTCTGCCCAGGTGGCCGTAGCGAAATACCGCAGACTGGGCAGCTTCAGCTACAGAAATTCATCTTGGTTTCCCATGCGAGCCCTATCCTGGGTTGCAGACGGCTGCCTTCTCCCTGCGTCTTCAGGCGGCCTCACTCTGTATCCGAGAAGAGAGAGACAGAGGTCCCTGGGGTCCTCCTCCTCTGATAGAGACAGCAGTCTGTTGAATCAGAGTCCCACCCTCATGACCTCACTTACACCCTCAAGACCCCTTCCCCGAGTATCGTCACTCTGGCCTTCAGCAGGGGAGTTCTGTGGGACACAGTCCAGTGCACCACGGTGAAGGCATGGTGGTTTTGTCTTAAAAAAAAATGTAACAAGCCCCTTCTGGAGATTGTGCCCACTCTTCAGGTGGCTCAGTGGTAAAGAATCCGTCTGTGATGCAGGAGACGCGGGTTTGACCCCTGGGTCGGGAAGATCCCCTGGAGGAGGAAATGGCAGCCACTCCAAAAAGCCTGGCAGGCCACCGTCTGCAGGTCACAAAGTCGGACATGACTGAGGGCCTGAGCGCGCCTTGTTCTGGAGCTTGGGGGACACGCTCAGCCCGTTGCAGCTACTGGGGCTGCGTGCTGTGTGCATGGGCTTCCCCACGCTCTGCTCACTGCTGTTGCTCAGTCGTGTCTGACTCTTTTGCGACCTCATGGTCTGTGGCACGCCAGGCTCCGTCTGTCCATGGGATTTCCTCGGCAGGAATACTGGGGTGGGGTTGCCATTTCCTGCTCCTCTCTTACTGTTCAGTTCAGTTCAGTTCAATTGCTCAGTCGTGTCCGACTCTTTGCGACCCCATGAATCACAGCACGCCAGGCCTCCCTGTCCATTACCAACTCCTGGAGTTTACTCAAACCCATGCCCATCGAGTCAGTGATACCATCCAGCCATCTCATCCTCTGTCATCCCCTTTTCCTCCTGCCCCCTATCCCTCCCAGCATCAGGCTCTTTTCCAATGAGTCAACTCTTTGCATGAGATAACCGAAGTGTTGGAGTTTCAGCTTCAGCATCAGTCCTTCCAATGAACACCCAGAATGATCTCCTTTAGGACGGACTGGTTGGATCTCCTTGCAGTCCAAGGGACTCTCAAGAGTCTTCTCCAACTCTCACTGTTATTGAATCTGAAATTGTCAATGATTTAAAAGACAATCATGAAATAAACAGACAATCAAATACGACGTATCAAGTGGATAATGTTACAACAGAGAATCCACTTGGCTTTCCACACCACCGAGGGGCCCTTTCAGGATGTGAGCTCTGTGCAAACACAGAGGTGGGGCGGGGCGGGGGGGGCATCCGTGGGGCCTGGAAGGCGCCTGTGGACCCCCACAGAGGAGGCCCCAGGACCCAAAAGGAAGCAGATGCTAGGCACTATCAGTTCGGGAGTCGAGGCACAGACACTCACTGGTCTCTTTCGGGTCCTGCAGCCCCCAGATAAAACCAAGACCATCCTCAGGGCCAGAGCCCACCGAGTGAGGCCTGCGGTTGCGGTCAGGTGTGATCAGTTGCTGCTGCAAGATTCCCGCGACTGCTCGGGAGGTGGAGACCCGGGGGGTGTCCTCTAGGAAAGAGGGCGGGGTGCTCACCCAGCTCTCAACGTCCTCGGGAAGTCCTGTGTGTTGGAGGTGAGGGCCGGCCAGCCCTTCCTCTTGGCAGCACTGACCCAGTTCACAGACTCAGGTGGACTTTCTAGCCCCAGAGTTTGGAAAGACGGAGCAGGAAGGGGGATTCCATCCTGGCTGTGGCCCCAGCTCACCTGAGCAGGTCACCGTCCGCCCCCTCCGTGGCTTATCCAAACTCCATGGAACCCAGAGAGGGTTAACTGCATCAGAGGACTCTGCCGTGGCGAGCACCCTCAGCACCTCCGGGTCCTTACTGAAAGGTGCACGGTTTCACCAGGGTTCCAGCATTTGGAACTGTGTTTAAAATCCTGAAATACAGACCGGATTTGTGTTCCCTGGCAAGAAAATGCTAATGCAGTCAACTCTGAATTATTCACCTGTGCATGTTTTTTGTATCATCCATGAAGAATTTAAACCCCAACCTAGTTGGCCTATGTGGTTAGCAGGCTTTTTTTTAAAGCACATCATATATCTTTTGTGCAGAGAATTCAAGTTTATTTTATTATTAGATAAAGGAAAACATAGACACAGTACATTTTAATGCTATCCAGAAATAGCTTTTTTTACCCCTTACTATTTGGATTTCTCTGATCAATGTACTTACTGCAGGACCTGATTTGCCTTTGAGGAGGTAGTAATTGAAATACCAAGACATAGAAAAATAACTCTCTGTACTCAAAAGAGACCAGACTGTTCTGAGCATGTGATTCGGGTTCATGACTGTGAAAGGGCAGCAGATGCGGTGTAACCCTGGAGCAGCGGGTAATCCACGCCCTGTGTCAGACTTGGACGCACTGTCGGAATTTTTTGTCGCGGTCTTCAAGTCTTTCATTTTTAGCTTAAGCTGCGGCTAAAGCTGGTGGACTTTCCCTGACGACACACCAGCTGCCCTTCCGAGTCTGCTGACCCGCGGGAGATGCCAGCTTAAGATTTAAAAGCACAACAAACAAGTCAGAAATCACTCCTAGGATCAACGAAGGTTGACTGTCCTCAGCTTTAAATTTCCTTTCCTCCGACTCACACATTTGCCCTTCTTTTAGTACTGAGCTAGAAGTCGGTGTTCCCAGCCAACTGTAAAGCATGTTAAAAGTTACGGCTGCCCCTACCGCATGGTCATATCTAGCCGCACGGACCAGTGTTGGCTGATAACGTCTCATGAGGTCCGTGTGAACCTCAGCTGGTCTCTCCTGGGTCTGAGCAGGGAGACGCACCCCGATAGAAGGCATGGCCCTGGGCTTCACACCTCTTTGACGGTTGAAGTCCTTGCTTACTTGATCCACAGACTTTCTCCATTCGCCCGGGAAGGTGTATCAGTTCAAATTCGCAGGACGCTACATCCCGCCCGCGCAGACTCCCAGTTGCTGTAACTGAGCCTGTATCCGCTCGGCCCTCAGCCTGTACGTGGCTCACCCTAGATCCTGGCGTGGGCTCGAGTTCTTCATCCAAACCTGCACCTCTGGGCTTGACGGTGGCTGAACCGACGCTATGTCCCTGCGCTTGGTGTGGACCTCGCACAGGACTCGTCACCTGGGGGATTTTTAAGAGCAGGCAGGCCTCAAAGTCAGAGTTCTCTGCAGGGAAAAAACAGCCAAAACTGGCCTGGGAACAAAACCTCTTTGCAAGGCGCTTGCTGCCTCTGCTGTTTCAGTGCATAATTTCCAAATTCTAGAAACTATGCAGCTGAGTCTTGTGCTTTTTAATTAAGCTTCTCCAGTCTAGCACATTGACACCTTACTTCCAAGTGCAGTCAGCTTTGATCTCACTCACTCAGGTGACTCTTTGCCAGGTCGACATCAGGGGCTGAGACCCATGTCCTTGTGGTCAGAGGTGCTGAAGGGGGTGGGCCAAGCCCGCGAAGTCCCCGTCACCCTGCGAGGGCTCCCTGGAAGAGCCGTGGGGGCTGCCCGGTCGCAGCTCGTGGTTTAGGTCCCAGGTACGGAAGGAGCACCCCGATTGCCTTTCCCCCAAAATAAAATGCTCAGGGTGAAAACGCACATTCCTGCAGCAGCTGACCCCCACCCCATCCCATCCCCCTGCTCCAGCTGACCCCCCACCCCACCCCACCCCCCTGCTCCACCAGGAAAGCCTTAGTTTATATATTGTTTCCACGTCAAAATAAAGTATTCAAACCAAGTCAAAAGATGCGCTCGTGCTCAAGTCGTGTCCGACTCTGTGCGACCCCATGGACTGTAGACCGCCAGGCTCCTCCGTCCATTATTCTACAAGCAAAAATACTGTAGTGGGTTGCCATTTCTTCCTCCAGGGGATCTTCTTGACCCAGGGATCAAACCCAGATCTCCTGTGTCTCCTGCATTGCAGACGGATTCTTTAACCACTGAGCCACGTGGGAAGTCCAAGTGAAAACAAGTAGAAAAGCAAAGGCCTGCTCCTATGGCCTTTCCAGTCCCACTTGCCAGCGTTTTCTAGATAATTCAGATTTAAATTTTGCATATATACATGGTAAGAAAAATTTAAATCCACATTATATACTTTGTATATTATTATAATTTATATATTTATAACGTATTGCTGCACGCATGCATGCTCAGTCGCTTTAGTCGTGTCCGACTCTTTGCAACCCCATAGACTGTAGCCCGCCAGGCTCCTCCTGTTCATGGGATTCTCTAGGCAAGAACACTGGAGTGGGTTGCCATTTCCTCCTCCAGGGGATCTTCCCGACCCAGGGATCAAACCCATGTCTCCAATGTCTCCTGCACTGGTAGGCGGGTTCTTTACCACCAGCATCAACTTCTTATATTATTATATGTTGCTTATGGCTTTTTTGTGATGTGCTTTAGAATATATTAAGATACATATTTTTGATTTTTTCTCCCATTGGATATGTTCTACAACATATTTCTCTTTTTCCATTTGACCAGCTGTTTTGTTAGTTGACACAGCCGTGTCTCATTCTGGGCCTCGTAGTCTTACTAGTGTTACCTGCACCCAGACCAAGCGTCCTGATGATATGGATACAGCTTTACTGGTTGCAGCAACAGTTAGGCAACATGGATGCAGCGTGGTATCCTTGATGATAAATATCCAGGTTGTCACCAGGATTTTTTTTGCTGCTACAAATTTTGCTAAGACCAGCGTTTTCTACATTTATTTCTAATCACCTTAAAGTAATTCTGTGGGATAGGAGAATCACTGCTGCTCTTCAGAAGGCAGGTGGATTTATGCTTAGGTAGACACTCCACGTCAGCCTTGCAAAAATTCTGCCGACTTGGGCTCCCACCCACCACTGCAGTGCCAGCCCTGACCAAACCCGCACATGCCTGGTGAGCTTTCGCCGATCTGTCAGGCAGCGTGTTACCCAGGTTACCGTGCCCCCATCAGAGGGACTGAGCGGCCTTCTCAGGTAGGAGCACCATCCATTCCCTCCCCCATGTTTCTTCCGGGCCTTTCCCCATTTTCTCACTGGTCTCCGGGAGCTTTTTGCATAATAGAGAGTTTTGTCTGTTATATATAATGCAGATCTTTTCTCTCTGCCGGTCTTTTACCCTTTTGTTTTCCTTAATGGTGAACTTGAAACAGGACCCACCTCAGCAGCAGTCAAGCTTTCGAGCAAATGCCCAGGGCTTAGAGGGGTCAGCACTGAAGGGCTCCCTGAGGGTCTGGGAGCAGAGCGCCCTGCGTGCTGCGGGCGGGCCCCTTGAGATCCTTGGGGGACAGAAGGGTCATCCTGCTGGGCCTGCATCCCTGTGCCCGGTTCTGCTGAACTGAGACACTCAGAGTGTGGCCTCCCGGGCCCTGCCCGCAGTGACAGCTCACCCCGAGGTTGCTGGTGGCTCTGGGCTCTGTCTGGAGCGGGCAGGGCAAAGGGCTGTGGCTCAGAATGAATATCAAATACGTTGTTATCAATGATCATCCTGAAGTTTTTGTTCTGAGTATTTTTGCTGTAGTGAAAGTAAAGTCACTCGGTCGTGTCCAACTCTTTGTGACCCCATGGACTGTATGGTTTCTCCAGGCCAGAATCCTAGAGTGGGATCCCCCCTTCTCCAGGGGATCTTCCCAACCCAGGGATCAAACCTGGGTCTCCCACATTGCAGGCAGATTCTTTACCAGCTGAGCCACAAAATAAAGTGTGGTTTCTTACAGCTCAGCCTCTCTGATCTCAGTTTTACCTCCTCGTCTAAGACACACAACCCCTGTGCACACACACCTCACACCTATGCACACTCGCCCACACAAACAGCTGCACACGTGCACACACACAGCTCACACACGTGCACACACACCACACACCCACAGGGTTTCTGCACCGCGTCGCGGCTCAGCTCCCCTGGAAGGCTGATTCTCTGCGTGTTACCTGCAGACTCACCCGGCGTCCCCCCCAGCGCCAACGCCCATCATCTGTTTAGAGGATTCAGTTTCGTGGCCTCCACCCTGGTCCAGGAGCCCTCCCAGCAAGATCTGCACAAAGCCACAGTTCACCCCATCGTGCAGGTAACCTGCCACCGTCCAGGCGGTCCCCCGCGTCCAGGCGGCCCCCATATGCAGGGCCCCTGTAGAGCCCCTTGGTTCACGCCCCCGCCTCCCCAGGGTCCTGACTGTCCACCATGGTGGATGCCCCACATCCATCCTAAGACAGAAGGAGTCCTGGGAGAATGTCGCCGTGCTGTGTCTTGGGTCAGAGCCCACCAGGGCTCACACTGGGGGTCTCTTGTGCAGAGCCGAGGAAGCACCCCAAGAGAGCAGTTGGGTTTGTGGGCACCAAGTGCCATCATGAAATGTAGTTTCGGGGGGTCAGCGAAAGTGCCGTTCTTATAAGGAGGTCTGCACGGCGTGAAGGTGAGCACTGTACAGACTCTCACGGCATCAGGACTGCTTCCCCTTTAGGAACTGAGTCTGGGTGCGTGGATGGCCTTGGAAGGCCACGTTCCTCTCCCCAAGGCCCTTTGGGGAAACACAGCTTGTCTCCAGCAGACGGCTGGACGCTGTGGCCGTGTCACTGTAACGGGTGACTCTGTCTACACCCCGAGGCAGCAGGGGGGGATGGGGAGGGGCGTCGGGGGGTGGGATCTCCATCAGATGGTGACGCCCAGGCCCCGCTCTGGGCACAAGGACCAGAGCCGCCGCCTGTGTCTCAGGGCGTCTGACCCCTCCCCTCCGGATCCTCACTCCCTGGGCCCTCTGCGGGAAGCAGGCAGGGCAGCCGACCCAGGGTCCCGACCCGAAAGATGGGGACGCTGGGGTTGCGGTCTGGAACCACCGCCAGCCAGCCCTGTGACTGCGGTCGGAGGCCGCCGCGCCCGCCTGGCCTCGGCGTCCCCGTGTGCGCAGGCTGGAGCCCCCTGAGCGCCCGCGTTCGGAGCACGGGAACCGGAGCCCGCGACCCCGCTCTCTGCCGCTGTCTCTGCAGCAGCTACACGGGAACAACGTCCACTTCACTGACGGCTACGACATCAAGGAGGACATCGGGGTGGGTTCCTACTCTGTGTGCAAGCGCTGCGTGCACAAAGCCACGGACGCCGAGTACGCCGTGAAGGTAAGAGCAGGGCGCCGGGCGCGCGTCTGCATCCGCCGGGCCCCGGGGCGGGCACATCCGGCCTCGCGAACACCCTCTCACGCGTCTTTGTCCAGGCTCTGATGTGGGCAGTTCCGTGTGTCTTGATATCAGGTCACTTTTTAAAAAGCTGTTTCGCAAATCATGAGTGTGTTCTTCTCCAGTCAACGGGTAGGCAGGTACTGAGCGCCTTTAGTAACTTTTCACCTGAAACACTTGGACAGAAGCTTTGGGTGCTCGGAATTTTAGAAAATAGAGAGTTGGGAGATGGGCAGTGCACCTTGGGAAGGAGGGGAGGAAGGGGGAGGGATGAGGAAGGAAGCTACCATCACCAAATCAGAGATAAACAGATGCAGATATTTTGTAACATTTGCAAAAGCTTCAGCAGAGAGCTGGCAGTTTTACCCTCAACATCAGGCCCAGTAAACAGTGACGACTGTGTACCACCCAGTTTGGCACTCTCTCCATCCTGCCTTTTGCTTCTGTAATTGTTGCTAAATTCAATATTTGATCTGGAAATCCAAAATATCAGTTTCTTGCATTTACTGGTTGGTGAAATGTGGACAGTCAAAGCTACGCTTTTTCCAGTAGTCATGTGTGGATGTGAGAGTTGGACCATAAAGAAAGCTGAGCGCCAAAATATTGATGCTTTTGAACTGTGGTGTTGGAGAAGACTCTTGAGAGTCTCTTGGACTACAAGGAGATCGAACCAGTCCATCCTAAAGGAGATCAGTCCTGGGTGTTCATTGGAAGGACTAATGCTGAAGCTGAAGCTCCAATATTTTAGCCACCTGATGCAAAGAGCCAACTCGCTGGAAAAGATCCTGATGCTGGGAGATTGAAGACAAGAGGAAAAGGGGACGACAGAGGATGAGATGGTTGGATGGCATCACCGATTTGATGGACATGAGTTTGAGCAAGCTCCAAGAATTAGTGAAGGATAGGGAAGCCCGGTGTGCTGTAGTCCATGGGGTCACAAGGAGTCAGACATGACCAAGCAACTGAACAACAAAAATGTGGATGAAAGCTAAAACTTTCTGCTAAAGTTATAATCTAACTTTTGCGAAAAGCATGACATATGCATTCTCCCTCCATGAGGGTGAGAGCTGGTCTGTTCACCACTTGCCCACTCAGCTAGCCAGGAGACGCTTGAGGACCCAGGTCCAGCCGACGGTGTCGTGGTGATCAGGGCACCCTGGCTTAGCCCAGGATGGCGCACGTGATGGTCCCCTGCTCTTCAAGGAGCCTCTGGGGACAGATGGAGCCTGTGCAGCAGGCAGTGGGGTGAGAGGAGTCGTTCCAGTCCCTGTGATCCCCTGAGCTCTGAGATTGTTCAAAGAGATGGCTGCGATGCCGTGGCCTCATCCCGCCCCACCCCCAGCTCCCCGGCCACTGCTGGGAACAGGTACTCCTCATGTCCAGCGAGACATCTTCCCAGTGCCTCGCACCCCAAGGACACACTCAGCCCTGGCGAAGACACCAGCCCCAAGCATCACAGGTCCCTTGGTTTAACTGGGGCTGGGAATTTATGGCTTTGTGACAAATATATCTTGAATTCCTCAAACAAAACAACGTGTTTACATTGGAGGAAGCCTCAGTCTTGCATTCCGTGGGTCTGTGGTCGTCAGCCTGCCCAGCGTCTTGACCACGTCGAGGAGCAGTTGACGGAAGGAAATATCGCACGATTTTAAGTCCCTGGGTGGGTGGGGTTGCAGCTGCAGTGGGGCCACCCTGAATGTTTCGGGGTTTGACTCAATGAGGAGTTTCAGTTTTCCTCGTCCTCAGGAGGATTTAATGGGATCTCGAACGATGCTGTTCCCAGGTCCAGGCGAGCCGATGGGGGAGAGGAGACCCAAGTCCTGCGTCGACGGGAGGACTTCAGTTTCAAACATATTTCACATGCTTCGTAAGCCTGCAGGCGCTTCTTAAATTCTTTCTGCGTGGCTCATCCCTCACAGAATTTCTCTGGCCAGTGTGCTGGGTGGCCAGCAGCAGTGCTAGAGACAATTGAGGCTTCCGCTGAGCGCGGAGAAGCGCATCTGCTGTTCAAAGGCGCCCAACACTGGTGCCCTTCCAGAGCGCAGCCTGGCACGGGAGGCTTCTGAAAATGAGCCCCGCGGACGAAGGCAGCGGTGTCTTCTCCCCAGCGTCCTCGTATCCAGCTCTCACCAAAAGACACCGTCTGAATTCAGCTTTGTCAGCAACTGGCTTCTAACTCCGTCCCCAAAGATCGGCGCGCACGATGGGCATTTCCGGAGATTCCAGCCCCAGCTTCTTGGGCATTGAAGCCGGGAACTGTGGCTGCAGCTGATGGTGGGAGTCCGAGCTGAAGTTGAAGTTCCTTGAAGTCGAATCCTCAGGGTTCCCTGGACAGACAGGGCAGGTGGGCGTCGCAGGGACCGCCCTCATGGTCTCCGAGCCCCTGTGGGGTCGTGGTCCATCGTCTGGAACTTGCTTGGATTAGGCGAGGAGGGAGGGGCGCCTACCAGTGAGACGCGCGCCCGGGGCCCTCGGCTGCCTTGGGGCACGGTTACCCGCTCACTAAGCCTCGGCTCCTCCATCGGGGGGGGGGGGGCAGACGCCCCGTTTGGATTTCCTTCGAGACGAAAGCCAGCGGGAGTCCCATGGCAGAGAGCGGAAGTCCGGGGCAGGGAGCGTTTAGGACGAGCCCACCTGCTCCCAAAGCCGCCCGGCGGCCCCCTGCGGCTCCCCGTTCCGTGTCCGGGAAGAGCTCAACGGACGCGTGAGTTGGCTCTTCCGTGCTCTGCTGACCTCGCGGGCGGCAGCGCCGCACTTGCTGATGGAGAAGCCCCGAAGCTGCCGGCTCCGCGTGTTCCCGGATGTGGCGCGGCCCCCCACTCGGCAGCGAGCGGATCCCACGCCGCACGCGCCCTGTTGATCTCCGGCGTCGCCTCTCGAGGCCACCGCGGTGTGCAGACCCCGCGCTGCAGACTCTTGGACGGAGACGGGTCGGTTTCATTCGGAGACCAGCCCGTCTGTCATCTGTGCGGCTACAGGGAGGGGGCGGGAACGTCCCTTCTGTGTGCAGAGCCGCAGGAGACCGCGGTCCCCGGGACAGAAGGGCTGTGGGCGGAATGCACGGGCCTTGCCTGAGGCCATCACACCGGGGTGGTTCTACCCCCCGGGGGAATACGCGAGGGGCAGGAGCTGCTCCTGGTGTGTGGTGCCCAGAGGTCAGGGTGTTGCCCCAAATCCCACACAGGACCGCCCCCCGGTGCCCCAGAGACTCAGCCCCCAAGGTCAGGGTACAGCTCCCAGCGGCTCTCATATTCCTGGAAATATCACTGTGTTTTGCTTTAAGTTTATCTCAGCCTTATAAATACCTACTTTGGTATTGTAACTACTCTGTCATCACATTAACTGCCATTTAAGTTAAACTGCAATTTCAGTTCTAGGTCTTTATACAAATATACTGAAACCAACCTACCCAGGTATATGCCCTGGAAACAAGAGTGCTGGGTTTGCACTTGTTCTCAGCTGCATTTTTATACTCGGGTCCTGAATTAGTGAGTCCACATGGAATAGCGACTCAGTGGCTCTGGGAGAGAGTGGAGGACAGGGGAGTCTGGCGTGCTGCAGGCCATGGGGTCGCAAAGAGCCGGACACGACCTGGCGACTGAACAACCAGAGTCTGGTCCCTAGGCCTGGTCCCTGCCCCCTACTGAGGCAAAACCCACCAGGTGCCGGAATCCCCCGCTGGGAGAGCCCGACCTGGGAGGACACTACGCTGACCCCCCACCTCAGGTTCATTTCGGGGGGGGTGTCCCCCGACACACCTGCCTCAAGCTAGGATGGCTGAAGGGAAAGAACCGCGGCGTTCTCTCGGGCACATCGCAGTGAACAGATGTGCCCTGCTTTCTGAGACCTCAGAGCTATTCTCATGGGAGTCTGATGTGAGACTCAGGTCCACCTTTGTGTTCACAGCCAGCCCCAGAGGCTAGTGGGAGGAGATGAAATTGTGTAAGCTTTGAAATAACCCAACACACAAACTGCTTAGATGCGAAAGCGTTAATGCACCTTTCATTTAAAATAAGATTGAAATGGAATCAGTCATGAACTGCAGAAGGTAACTATGAATGGGTAGGATTCAAAGGGGAGAGGTGTATTTGAAAGGACAAGATAATCCATGTTCTTATTTCATGAGAGGTTCTGCTTGCACTTTGTAAAAATTGCATGCCATTTTGCTTTTATTTCAGTTTTAGGTCTTTGTGGCTTGACATTACCAGGTGCGTATTCTTGCCTGGGCCAGTTTGTACATGGTCCCCCCGATTCCGCAGTGGTTTCCTCACTCAGTTCAGCTCAGTTCAGTCGCTCAGTCGTGTCCGAATCTTTGTGACTCCATGGACTGCAGCACGCCAGGTTCCCTGTCCATCACCAACTCCGGGAGTTTTCTCAAACTCATGTCCATTTGATCAGTGATGCCATCCAACCGTCTCATCCTCTGTTGTCCCCTTCTCCTCCTGCCCTCAATCTTTCCCAGCTTCACGGTCTTTTCCAATGAGTCAGCTCTTCGAATCACGTGGCCAAAGGATTGGAGTTTCAGCTTCAGCATCAGTCCTTCCAATGAATATTCAGGACTGATTTCCTTTAGGATGGACTGATTTGATCTCCTTTCTGTCCAAAGGACTTCAAGAGTCTTCTCCAGCACCACAGTCCAGAAGCATCAATTCTTCGGTGCTCAGCTTTCTTTATGGTCCAACTCTCACATTTATACATGACACTGGAAAAACCATAGCCTTGACTAGATGGACCTTTGTTGACAAAGTAATGTCTCTGCTTTTTAATATGTTGTCTAAGTTTGTCACATCTTTTTTTCCAAGGAGCAAGCGTCTTTTAATTTCATAGCTGCAGTCACTATCTGCAATGATTTTGGAGCTCAAGAAAATAAAGTCTGTTTCCATTGTTTCCCCATCTGTTTGCCATGAATTTTTGATGGCACCGGATGCTATGATCTTAGTTTT